GGCTCGCTCGGAGGCCGCCCGAGCGAGGAGGGAGGGGGGCGAGGGCCCAACTTCAAGCCTGTGCGGCCGCCCGGGGGGTGGGGTGGGGGTACCAAAAAGGCGGTTTAGCCTGTTTTCCGAAGTTCCATGCCCCTGCCTACCGTCAGAGGAGTCACGGTCAAGAGGGTCCACGACCGTCTGACTTGTAGGGCCGCCGACTCGCGTGCGGCTCGAGTGAGATGCCGGTGATCCCCGGGCCCGGCCTTCAAACTTGATCATGGCACTGTGACCGTCCGATCCGATGATCCGGCGGGGGCGGCGACGTACCGTACTGGGCCCGGCCCCGGCGGTCCGGGGCGGCCTCTGGGGCGAAGTCCGAAGGCGGCACCCGGATGCCAGGCCAGGCCGCGGCCGCGGCGTCAGAGCCACTGCCGCCGAACTTCCGTCTCACAGTCAGTGACTGACAGTGACTCACGGACTCAGCCGAGGCCCGTCCGACACTGCCTGGCCCGTGGGGGCCCGGCCCCCGCCGCGGCCGGGCCGGCCGCGGGGCCGGGCCGGCCCGGCGGGCCAGCGGCACCCGGCCGTCACGGACTCGGGGCCGCCGGGCAGCCGCTTCCGAGTCTACTCAACACAGCGCGGCAGTGAACTTCCGAAGCCCGCCGGGCGGCGCTGAGCCCGCCAGCCTGTCTGGCGTGTTCGCCGGGTCACGGCCAACAGTGGCCGCCGGGCGCCGCGGCCCCCCGCCGGGCCCCGGCCGGGCGGACCCCGGGGCCGCCCTGAGTCGGCCCGGGGACTCCCCGGACTCCGGGAGTCGGACCGGGCCGGGCCGTCCGGCGTCAGTCAGCGGCGGGCTTAGTGCCGAACTCCGAGGCTGTCCGGCGGGGACTCCGCCGCGCCGGGGGCCGGCCGCTGAGTCCGAGTCCGGAGTCCCGCCGGACTGATATGCCACCGGCCCCGGAACACTGATGATCATCGGATGGGAAACTTAGAGCAAACGCAAGTTACGTTTGCCAAGGCAAGTTGTCACGTAGTACCGGGTACGGGCCGCCGCGCGGTCACTGCAGTTTAGCCTTGGCAGGCTTGTCATTATAGCTAAGTTTTGCGGCTCTTTTCCCAGGCTCAAACGCTAGTTACGCTTTAGTCAACATTCGATCGGCGCGGCTGTCCCGCCGCCGGTTAGTAACGTTTAAGTTTCGGCCCGGTATCAGGTATGCTGAACGAGTTACTAAGTTCAACGGTGCTTAGTAAGTTTCAAGTTCCAAACTTCAGTTCGCCGCGCCGCGCCCGGGCGCCGGACCGGCGGTCAAGTTTCAAGTTCCAAACTTCAGTTCCGAGTCCCGCGGCGCCGAACTTCGGAACGCCGGGCCCGGCGCACGGTTCCGTGACGCCGGCCCCCGTTCCGGGCAGGACTGAGATCGGCTTTTAGGGTGGCAGTTATGGGTAGGTTACATAATTGTTTTCCTGAACGGCTCTTCAGATCATCTCGCCATGTCGAAGGATGTCCGAGCGGCGATGTTGGCAGCTGCAGCCGTAGCAGGTAAGGGTCGTTGCAGGCGATGAAGATCTCCTTCACCCCAATCTCCTCCAACTTTCATCGACGGAATGCAGATCTTGTTTTCTCCTGCTGGGATATCCCTGTCGCCCTCTCTGAACCCTCGCACCATCGATCCTTCTGGTTGCTGACCTCTGGCTAGTTGTGGCTCTGTTGGGCGTTGCAACGATGGGAAGTCGAGTATCTATCGAGCTTGAAGCGAATGACTGGGTGGGAGTTGGTGATAAGGGTATCACTTCTCAGGGTTGGAATGGGCACATCACCCAGACACCTTCCCGTGTTCCAAACATCCCAATTTTCGGAATGGGGTATAATGACAGGTGAGAAATGTTCCAAAATGTTTTTCTTTTCGGCGGAGAGGAGGAGATGCATCTTGTTGCCTGCTGTGTTGTCACAGAAGTAATGAGACCTCTGCAGATTGGGTGTAAAGCCGCTCTGCACTCATGAGACAGACAGGCGTGGACTTGTCGACTGCATTCCTCGAGACAGCGAGGATTCTTGGTACCATAACTATCCTGTGCCCTGATTCTCTGCTGTCTGTCTCTTAGTTGTTTGATTCCTTCCTCACTTGCTGCATCTGATCACCTTTCACTTCACACTGGCTGTGGGCTTACTACATCTCTCACAGGCCAGTTGGAACGGGCAATTCCTATTGCAATCAAGTCTGCATTCAATGTTCTAGTGGCATGCTTTCTGGACAAGGCTGCGACAATTGTTACTGTGGCGTTGGGAGCTCTTATACTGCGTGGGGAACAGATCCGGCAGATTGCAATCAGGTTGAAAGTTGCACGCAACGACGCGGGTTAGTCTGACGTTGTTCTCCGTTTCTTCTTCGAAACTAGGTCTGCTACTTTTGTCGTTCAGCAATGCTTAGCGGGTATGAACACCTCTTAACTCTCATCAGACCTTCTTTCTTCAATCTCAGAGTCACATCTTTGATCTTTGTTTGCTGTTTGTCACTGAATCTACTATTGAAACTGCTCTCAGGTATGAATGCAGTCAATGCTCATGTGGACTCTGGCCTGCACCCCTGTCAAGCGATCCGCTTGATTCCTGGTATTGAAATCTTGTCTCTGTGATCCACCTCTCTTTCCTCTCTCTAGTTTCATCTGAACACTACATGCATAACACAAGAAAATTGTCTGAATTTTCAAATACATTCATTTCCTTAACGCAGTGTTCCTCAAAAGAAGCCTCAAAACCAGAGAACCCTACAAAACAATCCTGTCAAATATTTGGCTTTCACAGCTTCGTAAGGCTAGAAGCGTCTTTGAGGACTACTGCGCGCGTAATAAGATGCATAGTAAGCCCCAGCTATGAACAAAATCAGATTCTCCCCTGCCGTCGATGCACACTGACCGGCCCAAGGAGGAAAGTAAAAAACAGACTGTGTGGTGTTGGAATCTGCAGCTCGGATCAATAAGAGATACAGCGCAGATGTACTTTCTCACCTTCTTCGCAAGTCCATCGAGGTAAACATATCTCCCTACAAACAAATCCCATGCAAGGACATGCGCCCATTCCTCAGAAACAAACACAGGGCTAGAGCGCATCTCCTGCCATTGAGCAATCATCAATTGAGCCAAATGAAGTGCAAAACATAACGAAGTGAATCATTGAGATTCCAAGGTTTCAATTCTCTATTGGCTACACTCAATCATCTTTCTATGAAATACCTGCATGGCGGAAAGCTTCACAAACCCTGAATTTCAAGGGGATCAGCTCGACCTTGTCATGATAAGTGTAGTCAAACACCTTGTGTTGCAAGAAACTGGAATTCTTCCGCAGATCCAGGCTGAGTCAACCCATATGACACCATGGAGAGATGCAGCGCAGCACAAAGAAGAACTGGGATCTAAAGCACAGTAAGGGACAAACTCTGGGCAGGGTTTCTCACCGAGCTCTCCATGAGAGCCTTCGTTCGATCAGAGTGTGGCTGAAAGATCATGCTACCCCAGAAAGGTAAAACAAGAAAGTTCACTGCTGTAAATACTTGCTGGGGAAATGTTGCCAACTCCGGTGACGCGAACTCCAGGGCTCGAATCCTTGACAGCGATGAGCGTCGGCCCAATCTAGTCCTGGGCGGACTGAAGGTGTTAACAGGTGGCAAACCTCCTGCATCTGGACACACGTTTATGTTTGTGCTGATAAAGAATGATGAATGTCACATTGGTTGTTGATTGCTCTCTTCAGCGGGAGTTGATGGTGACTGAAAGCACTTCTGACTACGGGGGATACTTGAAAGCCCTCACAAGATCTAGGGAAAGAGAGTAGCGACAAGACCACGGCTGATAGGACACGGCGGCTACGTACGAACAAGAAGCTAGTGCCTGTTTCATGCAGTGAGCTCCTCGTCCCGATTGACCGCATTTTGGGCTTTTACATGCAAAAATCGTTGTTGCTGCAACGGAAATTCAACGGCGTGCGTGTTCAACGGCAGATTCAACGGCCTTCCCACATCGAACAGTTATGTTAATCGTTATGATGAATAGCAGGAAGAGTACCTAAAAGTCGCCCCTGCAGGTGTTGAGTTATAATAAGTTTACATCTGTTATATACTCCTGAAGTTTGTACCGAGTGCTTTTTTTTTTGCACATGTTTGCCGTAGAAAATTGACTCTTTTGAATCAGCCTGGTAGTAACACATTTGTTGAAAGTCTCCAAGGAGCTCAATCGACTCTCTTCAATTACTGAAAAGTATACATTCAACTGGTACAAAGCAATATAAGTTACGGTACAGATGTAGGATATATTATTATGGCATTTTTGTAAGGTCCACATTTCCGATTGGTTTCAAGTGGGGGGTCAAAAAGGGTGGGTACTAGAATTAAGAAGGGGTCGGGGTTGTCAGAATAAAATGCTGATCGACGGGGTTTGAGAGTAACTCGATAAATTCTCTTGGGGTAGGGGTCATTGGCGGGTATAATCAACGGGTAGTTTTGTCCTACAACAGACGGGTGAAGTAGTGGAAAAGGATGGTCGGATTTCTTGACCATATAGGGCATTGGTGGGTGGTCAGATTGCTCAAATGGCACCGACCGTGATCCCAACATACTCTGGTGTTGAGGAGGTGGGGTGGTGGAAGAGTTTGTAAAAACTTACAGGTAGTTGCTAGTAGTGTGTTGGGGTGGGGTGATAATCCATAGTGAAGGAGGCAGAGCGAGCTAGTTTTAAAAGATTTTTATATAGTTTTATAAGTTTTCTACCGACATCAAAAACTATATATGAAAAAGATTATTACCAACGTATGTATAAATAGCCACAGCTTCTGACCCGTATAACTTTAAAATTACTTAAATCGTTCTAAACGTGTGGTAAAGTCTCCTCCGCCATGCAGCCGCAGCGCCGGACCCATACTGCATGATGTCGCTGCCTCCTTCTTCTCGTTCCCTGGTGGCTTGTGCTGTTGCTCTTGATCAACTGCAATGGAGTTGATGTGTGCATGCTGTTTTTGTTGATGATTGCTATTCGAGCCATGGTTTTTGTTGTTCCTTGTAACCCTGTATTTTTCCGCTCTCGTCCGCAACCCTGGTTTGTTGATGCAATCAATCGTGCTTTCAACAATGTCAATGAGTCCTCTACCTGTATCTCATCATTGTATTTTTGTCCATCCATTGAGTCATTCTCCTTGTTGTCTCTACCATCTCTCTTACACTTTGCCGAGATCCTCCCGGTTCGGATCAGTCTTATGATGTTTAGCCTTGGCATTTATTTTTTTTTTTGGTGTCATTGTTTGGTGCTATTGCAACCTGAACATTATAAGTATCTTCAATAGACCGAGCAAGAATTTGCCTCCCCCAAACTCTAAAGCTTGTTTTGGAACAGTTGCGCACCTTACGAGTGTTGCTGCCAAGTATTCAAGTTGTCAGCCCTGTAATCCCTCAATCCTTTGATCCATTGTACAACAAAAGCTAGGAGCTGAAAGGTCTTGTTGCCTTCTAGGAAATTACGAGGTATCCGTTCCCTGTTTGCTGACTGAGAGCTTCCACTTATACCTGATAGACAGTGGACAGAAGCTATCATGGTGCTGTCACATGAACAGCAGCATGCGGGCAGTCATGATGCGGAAATAGGTTGGTTTCCTTTTATCGATTGTCAGTCCTCTTATCGTCTTACATTATCACAGAGGACATGCCTTCAGCACCTGCTCTACGTGCTAAATATGTACCTGCGGCTCTTGTGCGCAAACCTATCAAGATGCGCAAGTTTAAGCGTTCGGATCTAGAGGTTTTTTTCACCTTTCCTGATATCTTTTGCGTCTAAACGTTTCTTAGGTTGCCAACAAGATCGGTTCGGGGGCTTATGGTGGAGTGTGGCAAGCAACTGTTGTTGACACAGACAAGGAAGTGGTTGTGAAGGTGGTTTGGCCAGACCAGGATTTGGATCCAGAGGACTTTCGAATGAATGGATGCCCTACACAGGAGAGATTAGAAGCATTTCGAAGGGAGATAGAGATGATGGAGGTTGCAGGGGCACATCCAAACATCATCTCGATCCTCGGGGCTACACCCGACTCAAGAGTCATTGTACTGGAAGAGGCCATGACCGACTTGCACACCATCATCAGCAGACAACGTCATGGGTTGAATCTGCCGATCATCACTCGATGGACCAGAGACATTCTACGAGGAGTTGCTTATTTGCATAGTGCCTTCGTGGTTCATCGCGACTTGAAACCTGGAAATATCTTGATCTTTCAAGATATGACTGCAAAGATTGCTGATTTCGGGCTGGCAAGGGAATTCTCTTCTACAGAACGAATGATGGTGGGTCGAGAGATTTGTACACTATGGTACAGGGCCCCCGAGCTCTTGATGGGGGCTGCCAAGTACTGCCCTAAGATCGATGTTTGGCCTGTCGGATGCATTTTCCTTGAGATGCTCATCGGTAAGAACCTCATGTGTGGGAAAGTCAGCGAAACTTGCAAGTGCAAGAAAGTCACACACAGCAACTATAACGGAGATCAGCTGTACAAGATCTTTAGCCTTGTGGGCTCACCGAACGACCCCAAGTTCCTTTCCTCCATGGACTGTTTTATCCACTTCCGAGACTGGCCTATTTATCCATCCAGGCTGAATAAGATCATTCGGAATCATTGCACTCCCGAAAGATTCAAAGCGAGTCCGAATGCTGTGGTTCCTAGCGATCGAGAGTTGGAAGTGATCTGCAATGGGCTTACTGCAGTGATCAAGGGGCTGCTGACCTTGGACCCTTCTGCTCGCATGTCAGCGTCTCAAGCCTCGTCACTCCAAGTCTTTGAAGACGCTCTTAGTTTCGCAGAGGTCAATATGGACACAATCTACTCGAAACAGACACATCCGCATCACGAAATGTCTCAAGCAGAACGAATTCACCTGCAGGTTGGGAATGTAATGATATCTCTTGGGTTTGTTGTAACTTCCTCACCAGGCATCTCAGTATGAGATGGCAATGCAGAGAAGACCTGTAAGCACAGCAAGGCAAGCTTTCCTCAACTGTGCAGCACGTCGGCAATCGATGAATCTTAGGGTAACTTGACCGTTCTGAGCATGAGATGTTCTAACAAGATTATTCAACAGTTGAATGTTTCAGACATGAACGGGTACTCTCCTGTCCACTGCAGCCCGTCGGTCCCTCAGACCACAAGTTCGATGCGGCGTTCGCACAGCACCTGTTTTCTAGAATGCGAATCTGTTCTATAGTAATCGTTTATTGATTGATGGAGGGAAATTGAATGGTGTAAGGGCAATTTCCTAAGAGACTTCGCGAGCCTCATCAAGGAGGACGAGGATGTCAGCCCTTCGTGCTGTTAGAGTGAGAAGTCACATCAGAGCAAGATAACCTTCCAGCTCTCTGCGCCAGGTCACGAGGCGTCTCCCGGTTGGCGTCCTGTACGCTCGTGCTCGCTCCGCTGTCGAGCAGCAGCCGCACAATCTGCCTTGGACGTCACTCCTTGTGCCACCTCCTCTTCACACACCTCAGCATGACCCTGCAGCGCAGCTTCATGCAGTGCTGTCCGCCCTGTTCGCCGCCCCACCCTGCCACCTTGAATCAAAGAATTCCTCTCATCCACACTCACTAGCCGACCCGTCCACGTTTGCTCCCATGCCGAGCAGCACGATCACCTGCGAGAGCATGAGAAGGCGTTTTGAGGTACCAGCCGACGTACCGCCTCGATCTTGCCGCTCCTCGCTGCCAAGCACAAGGCCTCTCCCTCTCCACTTCTCTCGCTCCTCTTCACCTGCTGAAATGTTTCCGAAGCCCTTGCTTCAGCCTCCACTTCCTCTTGCATCGGAAGGGAGCCAGGTCGTCCCTCCACGTACTTCACTGTCTCCTCTGAGCTCACGGTCTTCAGCTCGTCCGCCGAACTCTCCCTGAGCATGTCCTGCTGCTCTTCAAAGATCTCTTGTATGGACTGCTCAGCACTCCACGCGTCCTGAAAGCATAAGCTCAGCAGGTTCTGTCCCGTCCCCTCACACTCACCCCCTTCCTGCTCGCGGCAGCTTTTGCCTTCCACAGCCTGAGCTTCAGTTCTGTGGAAGCTTCGTCCTTGACAACCTTCTCCCAGTTTTCTTGCGCTTCCTCCACATAAGGATCTCGATTTTCACGCAGAGCTCGGGCTTTTCTCTTCCACCTCATTAGCTTCTCTTCGCTCTCCTCCAATCTCCGCTGCACCAGCTCCTCATCGGGAACATCGTTCGCGTTCATGTCCCTGGCTCGAACCGCGAGGATGCCGCGGGCACCAACGTTTCTCAACGAGCATGCACGTGACTTGAGAAACGTCGGACAAGGCGAAGCACTTCGCGGGCGGGGACAGGTCACATGGGGTCAACACCGGACAGGAGAGGCAACTTCAGTTGAGGGGGAGCAGCGGAGAAGTGGATTTCTCACCTTCCGAAGCTCAGTATCAGAGCACCAGCAGGGGACAGCTGCGTGAGAACGACACATACCAGGCAGAGACAGGCAGCAGGAAGGCTCAAGGTGACCGGCCCTTGTATGGCTCTTCCACTTCGCCCTCGCCCTTGTTCGCCCCAATGCATTTTCCTCACAGAAGCTCGCTCGCTGAAGATGGGAGGTCTAGCCAGACGTCTTCCTGTGCTCTGCATTGACTCACATCTTTCTACTCCTTGTAGCTATGCATTGACATCTCCCAGCTCCTTCCTCTACCTCGCGTCCTCTCCCCCCTCCTTCCTCCTCTCCTCGCTCCTTCCTCGTTTCAACAAACTCCTCACCAGGCCCGCCCCGCCGGGATGGGGCCGAAAAGCGAATGGACGAGGGAAAGGCAGAGGGAAAGGAGGGAGGGAGAGGGCAAGGTCGTTGGAGGGAGGGAGGGAGGAGGGGAAAGGGAGGACAGGAGGACAGTCAGGGAGGCAAGATGGGAAGTGGGGAGGAAGGGAGGAGGTTAATGGGAGAGGGGTATCGGAGAGGGGTGGAATAGAATGCGAGTGAGGATTGAGTGATGCTGATAATCTGACAAGAGACATTGTGGGGCTCTGAGTACTTGTCAGGAGACGATCCTTGCGATGCTGGAGGTTGTAGGAGTGAAACCTTCTTCAATGAATCATCTGTACAAAACTTGCACGCCCAAGGTCAAAACTTGGCCCTCCTTGCCGCACGCCGCGTTCTCTTCCTCCGTCTCCTTCGATGCCCATTGGCGAAGGCTGATCAGAGGTTTATGAAGTCGTTGGGGTGGTAGACCTGCGGGAAATTTACTGCCAACAAGGGGCTGCTGCTCGTCGATTCTCACCTGTAGACTGCATACCACGATGTAGATCACCCAGAGTGAGAAGAAGACGCTTGCGCACAACTGCAGCAAATTCAATGATATACACGTTTGCAAGTTGACAAGATGAAGAGGAGGAGAAAGTGTGATGCAAATGCAGGAGGAACGGAGTTAGAAAGGGAGGAGGAGGAGGAGGAGAAGGAGGAGGAGGAGGAGGAGGAGGAGGAGGAGGTTGAACTCACTCTGCTCAGCCATCTCGGGCCTCCCAGTTCGGTTCCCAGCGTCAGGCGTCTGATGGCGATGATGACGAAGGCGGCGGCTGTGAGGATCGAGAAAATGAGGACGTTGAAACCGAGGGCTCCCGACTGAACCACAAACGCCCCTGACGTGCTGTACTGCTCGTACAGGTCCCACGTGCTCCCGTAGAGGGAGTGCCACTGAGCCGTCGGCCCCGACACCTTCCACTTGATGGCCGCGATGACCCACGGGAGGCCGAGGCCCAGGAAGACGTTGACCGAGTTGCTGCCAGTCACGTTACCCAACGCGTTGTCGGCCGTGGAGTCCATGCGGATGGCGATCATGGAGGCGAAGGTGTCGGGCAGAGAGGTGCCGAGGGCGACGATGGTGATGGCGGTGATGGCGTCATGCAAGCCGACCAGGCACCCGAACACAGTCGCCATGTCCCCGACCAGGGCCGTCACTAGCCCGATCATGGAGAGCGCTACCCAGAAGCAGGCCCATCCTCCCCAGATCCTCCCAGGGGGGATGCAGGCGGCCAGAAGCTTCCAGCCGATGGACAGAAAGTGCATGACGCACTCGAGCAGACCCGGGTCGTAACTCTCGTCCCCCCCGTTCACGTTGAGCGCCTGCACGAACTGCTGCGACCAGCTGACCTCCTCCTCCTCGCCCTCCTCGCCCTCCGTTGCCTTGCCGCGGTACTGGAGGTCAGACTCAAGCTTCACTCGGATCTCGCTCGACTCCGACACCTGAACTCCCTCGTGCTCCTCGTAGAGTTTGACGGTGAAGAAGAGCGACCTGGGCTCCATGGAGGGGAGGAGGCGTACCTTGATCTGCTTCAGCGACTCGTGGGGCAGGAAGTCCAACTTCAGTTCCATTTGCTTGTAGTGCTTCCCACTCACCGCGCTCCCGTCTTCTGTCACAACCCGCACCGTCGAGGTGTCGGCGAAGCTGCGGTGACGCTGGATGAAGAGGATGGCGCGGCTGTCGGTGTTGGGGAACGAGACCTCCTTGGAGTTCCACGTGAACTCGGGCCCGGCGAGCTCGTCGCTGACACAGACGATGGCAGAGGCAGCCTGCGGGTGGATGCGGGTGGGCGAGTCCTCGCTGGGCTTCAGCTTGACGGTGAAGTAGGAAGCCTTGTTCCAGTCAAAGCTGGGGATGACGGGGATGATGACGGCCTTTGACGACTGACCCTGATGGAAGGTGATGGTTCCTCTCGAGCTCTTGTAGGCCTCATCTGCCTTCACCGTTCCATCCTCCGTGTAGAAGTCTACGTGAGCGATCGCATCGAGGTTTCCTCTCCTCTCCACGTTGACCTGAGCCTCTCGCACACTCCGAGGGAATGTGTACTTGGTCGCTTCCCACATAACGGTCGACGAATCGCCGTCGCCATCCTCCTCCAGCGGCACGATAGTCGAGGACTTGCGAGTAGCAACGTAGTGGGAGAGGTGACGGTAGTCTTGCTTCTGAGCAGACATCATCTTCATTGCCGCGCGTCGGTGAGCCAGGTAGCTCATCTTGGTGGCTGACTGCTTCGCGTGAGTGATCGCCTCGATCGCGCGGCTCTTGTTGAACTCTCTCAGGCGAGGCCCCTCGGCTTCAATCCCTTCCTCCTCCTGTGGAGTTACTTCCATCGCCGACCCCGCGTCATCCTGCTTGCCATCGTGCTCGAGCTGAGACGGGTCATGGTTCGCACCTCCGTCCTCGCTTTCGGGGAGCACTTGCGACGACGACGCGTGCCGGTCAGCGAGGTAGACGAGAGCGACGAGGAACGGCATGAGCGCAAGGGTGACCACCGCCTCCCAGAGATCGATCACGTCCTTGGTGTTCACCACGAGCACGATATAGAGCCAGATGTAGGCGAAGAGGGAGTGAAAGGAGGTTAGCAGAAAGACGGACACTCCCTTCACCTTGCGGATCTCATTCTCAGGGATCACCAGCATGCAAAGCCCCGTGATGATGTAGAGGTTGAACGATGCTGAGCCCAGAACGGTTCCAGGGCCTAGGTCACCAGAGAAGAAGTCTCGTCCCAGCAGCTCGATCAAAGCAAGGAGGATCTCGGGGGTCGAGGACCCCAGGGCCATGAGCGTCAGGTTGGCCACGGCTGGGTTCCAGATGGGAATGTCTTGCTCGTCGAAGACAACCTCTCCTTCGGGAGTCCTCCTCGCCACCCTCTTGCGGTACGTGGAGTTGGTGATGGTGTCGATGCCGCTCATGAAGGAGTCGCTCAGTACCGAGATCCCGATGAAGCACCAGAGCATTCCGACGAGGTAGAGGAAGGCGCGGAAGTTGCTGTCCCACTCGTACTCCCACGGGAAGATGGGGAGTATCAGCCCTTTGCACCTACCATCCCATGGGCCCGTGATGTTCTCCATCCTCGTCGACCTAGCAGGTAGAATCTCTGTGCATGCTCTACCCAGACTGTTCGCTTCCTCACGGATGCAGCAGCTTCTCCTTTCGCTCCGTCACTCCATCGTCTTCACGGGCAGCACCTCGGTCCCCTTGACTCGCTCTGTTGCAGAGACGTGTCGGTCGTCGCGAGAACTCCAAGTTATGAATGAAACTGTTCACGCAGAATGGTCTGCCACAAAGACAGTCACACTGAAGCATCGGAAGGTATTGTAGTAAAAGATATCTTCCCATTCACAACCCTCTTTGACTCCTTTCTTCTCTCTCTCACTTCGTGAACACCAATCACTTTGTCCTCAACAATCATGTTGTACTACGACATCGTCATATCCGAACCATCATGTCCATCACGCGCAGAAGATCCGTCTACAGTTGTTAGGATATATTCTGTCGCCATCTACAGCTTCAACGTCTCATTTGTAAACTTCGTCAAGTCTGTTCATTCCTCTCGTGCGGGGATGCTACAGGCATGCGTGTCCCGACAGTCACATGTTGCTGTTTCACATTCCTAGAGCCTCGCACTACGCCTGTTCCTCTCGCCTCCTGCTAGTGTGCCACATTCCTAGCTCTTGACTGATGCACTCATCTTTACAAGCTCGTTTCATGTCTGCCGATCCGACTGCTCCTATCTGATTGTTCTCCCGCTGCTCTCCTCCCAACTCTCTCTCCTCCCTAGCGTCCCATTTCATCGTGCGACCTCCTTTGCTGATTGTTTGCCCCTCACTGCATATCGAGTAAAACACAGCAGCTCCTCCTATCAGCTCCCTCTCTCGGCCCTCTACCTCTCTCTCACCTCCCCCCTCCCCTCTCAGGCTCCCTCCCTCCCTCCCCGGCTCGGCCCTCAGGCCTCGCTTACCTCCCTCCCTCCCTTCCCTCCCTTCCCTGGGCCTCCCTCCCTCCCTCCCTCCCTCCCTCGCATTCCCTCTTCCTCTCTCTCTCTTTTGAGTTCGGAGCCAAGTTCTCCCCTGCCATATCTCTTTCTGCTTGTCCCCCCGTTTCTTCAGCCTATGCTGACCAACGGTCGAGGCTGAAACAGTAGTAACGGTAATAGCCCCGGGGCCCCGCCGGGCCGCCGGGCGGGGAGTCCTGGCGCGGGGCCGGACGGACCAGACTCCAGGCTCCGGGAGTCCACGGTGGCGCCTCCTCCGGGACTCTGAGTCTCGTACGGCACCGGGTACGCCGGACCGTGACGGTCCGATCCGGCATACGCCAGAGTACTGAGTACGGTCAACTTGGCAACGTGACTTCAAGTTAGCAATCTGACACGGGCCCGCCGCCGCCGGGCCCGGGCCGGGAGCGGCCTCGGCCGCGGCTCGCCGGCCCCGGCGCTGCAGTGCCAGAAAGTACAGGCACTGCAGGAGCACGGTACGGTAAAAGTACAGGTGAAGTAATTTTCATTCGATTGCGCTGTAGCCTGGATTGGCGCTGTCACTGAGCCTGCTACACTGCGGCGGCGATTCCTGCTTCAGCGGCACTGCGACAGTGTCGGAAGTTTCACAACCGCCGGGTGTTGTAGCTTCCGCACTGCAGAGCGTCAGGAAGGTCGGATGTGAGGCTGAAAGTTTCCTTACGTCTTTGTTCGGACACTTCAAACCGAGCACGTGGAAGGGAGTCTCTCCTGTGGCGGAGCAGTCGTTGCAGAGCACCACCACCTGCGAAGCAGTCACCTCTGTTGCTACTATACAAGTGTCGACCTTCATGTCTCGATACTCCTCGGGCATCGGAACCTGCGCGACTTCCTCGTCTATCAATGTCCTGACTTGCGTTAGGACGGCTAGCTCACCATGGACAGTCAGCAAGCTTACCAATGCCTCGAAGGATCTCCGATTGAAACCATGCAGATCGGGCATCGAAGAAGCTGGGTGCGAGATCGCAGCATGGAGTGCAAGCACGTGGAGTGAATGGCATGACCGCAGCGAAGGATCTGGAAATAAAAAAGATTGAAGTGAGGATACGAGCGAAATCGATCCTCCATCACTTTGCAGACTGTGGTTGATGTGAAGAGGTCCTCCAGGCACACTGGACAGTTCCGATGCATGTTCTGTTGGATACATCTTTGTTGAATGAGATTAGATTGCAAAACTTGCAAATGAAGATTGGTCGAAAAGAGCATACCTGTGTTGGTCCCGCAGCGCGTTTGAGTAACAGCAACCACATGTATCGCAGTGAAAGAAGTTTTCCCTTCCTCCCTTTCTGCATATCCCACACCCGTCACAATGAAAAGGCTCTCCCGAGATATTGTCGTCGAAGAAATTGCAGATGGAGCAGAAATATTTCCCAAAAGCGTTTCCACACTCCTGCCCGATGCACGCTGGCCCCACAGGTTGAACCAGACCACACTCAGCACACTTGACCTCCTTCACTGCATGCCGATCGATCGCATGATCGCTTGCCTCGTCATGGCAGAAGCGGCACCAGAAGGTCTTCTGACAGCACGGCCCAACTAATTGACAACCCCTGCTGTAGTGCTTGCACCCTCGTGAAGGGCCTGAGTCCTCCCGAGTCTCGTCCTCAGCGCTGTCAGACAGTTCAATGCTATCTGTCCTACTTTCATCGTCGCCTTCGGATGCATGCTCTTCATCATCATCAAACTCCCCCCCCTCCCCTTCGCTCTCCTCTTCATCCCCTTCTCCATCAGCACCTTCCTCCCCCTCCCCCTCCTCCAGCGGTTCATCCCTTGAGCAAGCATCTTCCTGCTGGGCTCTTTCGATCTCTCCTGCCTGCGCTTCCTCCTCCTCGCCCGGCGCATCGCCACGTGGATCGCCATGTCCCGGCATTCTTTTGAAGGCGTCACACGTATCCTTCCAGATACGCGGAATCAAACTTAGTCGGTACCCCGGGCCCCACCCGTACTACACGTTCATGAGGTGGGCAGTACCCCCTCCTTGTACTAAAAGTACCCCTCACTTCTCATATTCCGACCCCACCACCTTTATTCTATGCCCTTCTCCCCATGCTGCTCCTGTGTCGCTGGTCATGAAGCTCCGCCCCGCTCCCTCCGATGTCTTGTGCTTCTTCGTCATGCTGCCTCCTCCAGCCTCCTCATGAGTCCAGCCTGCTCTCATGCGCCATGCTGCTGCATCCCTGACCCTCTCGTCCTCTGTGCTGTCGTGCTGTCTCAGGACCCCTGTAGTTTATCTTACCCTTGTCTTCTGCTGTCAAGTGCTTCTGACGTTGAGCTTCTGAGTGCATCGAGTGGTCTCCTGCTTGATGCATCATGTCTTGAAGGATTGTCACCTGTCCCTTCCTGCGGCTCTTTACCACCTCTTGCATAAATTGGCTGCTGCAGCGCCTGTAAACCTCTACGCCCCCTGCGCTTTGTTGTGCCTGTTCCTGTGTTATGCAACGATTTGTCTCTGGAACTTTGAAATCATGGAATGCCCAGCCCTGTTTCGACTTTTGCACTTAGTTCGGTGGCTCTTTTGTCTATTTTTCTCCCTCTGTTACGAAAGATTTTCAAGCTATTTTCTGACATGCTTGTTTTCAGTGCGTGAGATGTTTCCAATTTCAAGATAAGATATCAAGCATGCACGCCTTCTCTTTCTTGTCTCGAAATCAAATCAGCATGCATCAGACGCCGAGATACATATCCCATCTCGTCACGAGCTGGGTGACAGAAACCTTATCCACTTCAAGATGGTTGTGACGATTCGCATGTAGGCCTCTCGCCGAGGGCCAGGAGCAGCAGCCAGGTAAACCGAAGTGCTGAGCGTTCGTATGCTCACACCTGTCTAGGTTATCATCAGTGGTAAGAAAGCCTTTGAGACATGAGGTGCTCAGTGAACGTTGGTCTGCGCCACGTGGTTTCTTCACGGCCAAGGTGAAGGCAGAGCACTTGCATCTCCGAACTAACTTCTCAACCAAGGCCAACGCAGACGGTGCGACGGCACAATCAGATCAAGAGGTTTGCTTGTATGACTGTCGTAGAGAAGCAATTGATGTGATGCAGTTGTCATCGAAGCAAAAGAGGATCCTCTTCATCCAATCGGCGGTCCCAATGATGTACTTCCACGTTTCTTCTTGTGTCGTTTGCTGCATTTGATCCTGCCGCCAGCGGCTTCGGATTCATGGACAATGTTGTCATGATCACAATGGGAGACCTGATAGACTCGACCCTGGGCGTGACTTTCGGGCTCAGCACACTGACTGCTGCAGGTTTCGGCCAGGTTGATCATTGCTTGTACCTGTAGGAACTTAACTGAACTTGATCTGGTCAGATCTTCAGCGATGTGTCTGGCGTTTGCTTCGGAGGAACCGTCGAGGCCATCTTTCTTCGCCTCGGGCTGCCAACGGCTAAGTTAACCTCCGAGCAGGTGAGCTCGCGCGCGGCGCTGAACCCTCGGGCTGAGCAGAGCGCAGGCACAACTAAGGGTGACTCGACTCGTGTCCACGTTCGGAGCTGCTTGCGGCGGTAAGTTGAGGCTTTCCGATCTTTCTTGCTACCTGGTGATTGTTTGAGGAAAGTGGTTGTCGGATGTCTGCTCGGAATGAGTACCTTGCTCCTTCACAACAAGGTTGGGCGAGGACTCGCAATGTTGCTCCATCTCATCTTCTACTTGCTATCCAGGAAGAAACGGAAGAGAGGAAACACGAGGCAGAGTTCAACAAGATGCTCGAGTCAGAGAACAAAGCAGACCTGAAACAAGTACACGCGATAATCCTTCCCTTTTCCTGCCTCACTGACCCCTCCTATTGCAGTACATGACCAAACTTCGTAAGGAGCTCACGATGGCTGAGAAGGCTCTAGAGCAAACTGAGAATGCGATTGTACGCCTGGCTCCCCTTGTGCAGGTAAGATTGCTGCAAAACTAAACCTTCCCTCACAGTTTCTGCCAGTCCCCAGAGCAAGCGCACGTTGCCAGCTCTGCTCTCCAGAAGCTCAAGAGCTGGAGGAGTCAAGACAGATTCCCCGGGGTGATCTAGTTGTGCAGCTCTGCTGTTGCCCTTCTGACCCTCGCATGCAAACAGGACAGGACTGACGACCCCCAGCGCGACGAGGCAACAGAACGCGCCTTGGCCTTCCTTAGGACGCGCAACAGTATCGCCATCTCAGAGTTGCCGCCATTCGCTCACACAGATGATCTCCAAGACAAGGACAAGGAAGGTGAACCTGACAAGTGATTCGAAACCTTCCGCTCCTCAGATCGGACCCGTGAGCCCGCCGGGGTTGCAAGTTAGCACAGTCGCCGTTGGATGAAAGCGTCACTCCGATCAGCACCTAGCGGCACTCCGATCTACGTACCTGGTCGTAGCCACTCACTGGCATGATAGCATTAGTCATCATTGTGGTACCGTTTGGATGTTACATGGTAGTCCGGCGGCGGCCCGGCGCCGGGCGTCCGATGGCCCGGTCCGATCGGACCGGCCCGGGGCGCCGGCCCGCCGCGTAGCCTTTGCTCCTCATCCCCGCTCTGACACTAACGGACTTCTGCCAGCCAGTCTGCCAACTGTCTGCCAAGTCAACGCCCGTATCTGAAAATGCACGAGAGCGAAGACGATCAGGAATAGGAGGAGAGAGGAAGAAGCGAAGGGGAGAGAGGAAGAAGCGAAGGAGAGAGAGGAAGAAGCGAAGGAGAGAGAGGAAGAAAGCGAAGGGCAAAGAGGAAAGAAGCAGGAATGAAGGAGGTGATATGATGAAGGAGGTCAGAAGCAGGAGCAGAAACCAAGGTGATGTGTGCTGGGTAATGACGAACTGTGATGGATTGAGGAAGCCAGGCAGGGAGTGAGAATGATGCATTTTCATGTTCGTTGATGCAGGGAGGATATGGGTGGTATAATGGATGCGAGGAGATGTGAGGGGTAGACAACTCGACTTGGATGGTTGTGCAGATTCAAGTGATGTTCAATAACATTCGTTTTGTTTTGCAGATTCCAAGGATAATCTTTCACCGTTGTTGACTAGAAGAAGTACAGTGCAAGTCACTTGAATTGGGTCAGCCATGCACAGAGTGCGAGCTGAAGGTTGAAGTGTGAGCTAAAGCCTTTTTGACTTGGACGCAGAGCGAGGGAAGAACATTCTCTATCAGAGAGAAGTAGCGCAGAATCATGAACTCCATCGCAAGAAGCTTGAGGGAATGCGATCTCATCTCCGAAGCCTTGGCCTCACTGCCCAGCCAAGAATGATCCCCAAGGTGAGCTCGCAGGCTCGCGTGGGAGGAGGAGGAGGTGAAGCAACTGGTCAGGTGGTACGCGCGAACCTGAAGAAGCGAGTGCGGGAGGACGAGAGGCTCGCGGAGATCGAGACTGAAAACGCCAGGCTGCTGCACCAGATGATCAAGATCATGGACTCTCCGGACGTGAAGCATCGCATGCCGAGACATCACGTGACATGTCACGTGCGTGTTGAGTCTCGTGACTTTGAGGGCAGGCGAGCAGTTTGAACATCGCGGTGAGGAAGCGAGAGATGGAGAGAATCAGCCAGCAGAACCTCAAGATGCTCAAGGCCTTAGAGACCACCCCGCCTACTACAACTCGAGGTCTACCCCCACCCTCTCCTTTCCTCCTCCCCATCCACTACACCTCAAGGTCCTTCCTCTACCCCCACCTCTTCCCTCGCGTCCCCCCTCAAGCTTCTGCTGCAGGATTTGGGAAGCGGAGAGGAAGGAGACGGAGCACATCCTGAGCTACATAGGGCTGTACCCTTACACGGATGGACGAGGCGTGCTCGCCAAATCTACTTCACCATCCAAGGAAGACATGGACGATGCTTGGCTTCGAAGCATATCCTCCTTGTAAGTGAAGGGCCTAAATGTTGACACGAACTCCGGAATGATGATGGAGATGATGATGATGATGATGATGGAGATGATGGAGATGATGATGATGGAGATGGTGGAGATGATGATGATGATGATGGAGATGATGGAGATGATGGAGATGATGGAGATGATGGAGATGGTGGATGATGATGATGATGATGGAGATGATGGAGATGATGGAGATGATGGAGATGATGGAGATGATGGAGATGATGGAGATGATGATGATGATGATGGAGATGATGATGATGATGATGACGGAGACGATGGAGGAGAAGACGGTGGTGCTGGTGCTGGTGCTGGTGCTGGTGCTGGTGCTGGTGCTGGTGCTGGTGCTGGTGATGTAGGTGGATGAGGCGAGGATTAGTTGGTGTTTATGATGAGTGATGATTTTCTCAAGGTCGAGAAAGTCTGCAGTCTCCTTACCAGAGCTCACCAAGATGCGATCATCCGGACGGTTTTCAAGGAGCGACACGAACGAGCCATGGAGGCTTCCGGTGCTAGGGAGAGCGACCAAGAGGAGCGAGGACAAGTTTGTGAATGAGTCCTTGGACTCTGCCGCCTCCCTCGACTTGCAGCCCCTAGCTCAGTCTGACCTCAGCTCAGCTGCGAGGGATGGCAAGCGCGTTGGCAGGAGCGTTGGGAGGGAGGTTGTTGGTGGAGGCAAGGTCGAGAGCTTGTCGCAACATGAAGAAAAGGAAAGCATCTCGTCTCCTCTCAGCCTTCGCCAACCCTTTGAACTTTCCAACAAGGTGCATTCCTCTCCTCTCCCTCCCCCTCGCCTCTCCTCGCCTCTTTCCCTCTACCCCTCTTCCCTCACGTCCTCTTCTGTCCACCCCTCTCCTTTCCTTGGGTCTTAGCCTTTTGCCCTCCCTTTCATAATCTTTTTCCTTCTCCTCTCCTCTGCTTCTTCCTTCATTTATCCTCCTCTCGTATTCTTGCCATCTTGCATGACTTTCATCAAGAAGGAGAAGGCAAAGGTGAAGGAGGAGCAGGAGGAGGAGAAGGCGAAAAGCGCTGTCAAGGTTCCTCAAGATCTTCTTGCTTACTTTGCTCATGCTGGGTGAAGCAGGAGGCTGATGCGCGTGCCGAGCAAGGGGTAGATTCCAAGGACAGCAGAGCCGCTCATGGCAAGGTCGTTACATTCAAGAAACCTTCCATGTCAGAGGAGAGTAGCGGCAACGAATCCAGCAATGGGGAAGAAGAAGAAAGTGAAGGAAGGGAGAGAGGAAGACCTGCGAAGAGTGGGTCTCCTGTGCTGAAGAAGCCAGCAGGAAAGCAAGAGGAAGCGTCGTCCGGGTCTGCAAGTGACGCAGAGGCAGGGCAGGAGAAGCAGGAGAAGGATGGCAGCAAGGAGTTGAAGGAGATGGCAGAAGAGCACGGGGGGTGGGGCCGTTGACTGGGAACGAGAGAGGAGGAGGCGCAGAAGGGGCAGGAGAAGGTGCAGATGAGGTGACCAGGGAACACGATGGTGCGTTAGACAAGCAGGTTGAGGGAGAGGAATCGAGGCAGATGCCAAGCGTGCGAGACTTGACGCAAGCGAAGCCCAGAAGCGATGAAGGCGATGAGCTGAAAAATGTGAAGGAGACTGAGAAGAATGAGGAATCAGGAACCATGGAGGTTCACAACGACGAGGCGAAGGCAGAAGACGTGAATGAAGAGGCGAGGGCGGAGAAGGAGGAGAAAAATATTGAACAAACGACTGATACAGCGAAAACGACACAGGAAGCTCCATCTGATGCAACAGGCGAATGGGAGAACAAAGAACAACCAATAAGCACAGATGACAACGAAGATCAACCCGAGTCAAAAGAAATCCTCAACAACATCCAAGACAAACCACCAAACGGAAACCAAACAAAAACGGAAAATGAAAACAAAAAGAAGCCGGAGACGGGGGCAGAGGAGGACGGGAAGGAGGCGAAGGCGGAGGCGGGGGCAGAGGAGGACGGGAAGGAGGCGAAGGCGGAGGCGGGGGCAGAGGAGGACGGGAAGGAGGCGGGGGCAGAGGAGGACGGGAAGGAGGCGAAGGCGTAAGTTGAGTCTCGTGTGTGGGATGTTTTTCTCAGGATCATCAGAGGACTCTTGTAATGAGGGTTGCCAGCAAAGGACAGGCATCTGAATCGACATCTCGTCAAGTCAAGGTCTTGGTGTTGCGCCTTCGGGAGAGCAGCAGGCACATTGGGGGGATCATGAGAGCAGGGAGAAGCAACAGCTGAAGCGCTTGAGTCGGAGCAAGGGGAGGGAGCACAAGGAGAAGAAATGGAGGGATGGGCACCGGAAGGTGTGGATGATGCGGGAATTTGAGGGGAGTCAGCAGCAGCGACATCAAAGGGGTCGGACGAGGGAGAGGTGCTGGAGGGAACAACAGCGCAGTAGACGCTTGGAGAGGCATTGCAGGGAAATGAAGTGTAGGCGGCAGAGGAGAGGCAGGCGGATGGGAGTGGCATAGGGCGAGGGGAAGGTGAGAGAGGAAGTGACAAGATGGCGGTGAAAGAGAGCTGGAGGTGAGATGTGCGTTAGAGCGAGAAGCCTTCAAGGTCGCTGATAAAGGGAAGAAAACTTGCACAAAGGTGAAGGGCCGGGATGAAGGAGGAGGAGGAGGAGGAGGAGGAGGAGGAGGAGGGGAGTAAACGACAAGGTTGAAGGGAGGAGTGAGCTGGTCGCGGTCGTTGGTGTAGATGGAGCGACGATGAGGACGAGACAAGCGAGTGAAGGAACAGGGGGTAGGGAGTGGAGGAGGGTGGAGGGGGTAGGGGATGGTGGAGGGGTATGGAAGGGTGGAGGGGGTAGAGGAGGGTGGAGGGGTAGGGAAGGGTGGAGGGGGTAGAGGAGGGTGGAGGGGTAGGGATCATGTCTATTGGATTCTTCGGATCAAAGTCAGCCCGTCTCTCACGGGCAGCATCACAACCTCCACCCTCGCGTCTCCTCTGACATGGCAGAGTGAGGCGAACGAGATGGAGAGAAGACACAGAAAAGAACAAGAACAACAAGATGAGACTGGGAGTGGAGGGGATGAAAGGGGGGAGGATGAGGAGAGGAGAGGAGGTGAGGGAAGAGGATTAGGAGAAGATGAGGAGGATGACCATGGGGAGAGGAGGGAGAGGAGGGGGTGAGGTGGGGGTGATGAGGGGAAGAGGTGGGGGAGAGTATGGGGAGGGAGGGGAAGGGAAGGGAGAGGTTCGGGGGGATCTTTCAGACCTCACGAGTTGGTTGAAGGCGTGCATTGCCTCCGCATACTTGTCAGCGGCGACGAGGGACATCACGCCCTTCCTCTGCAGCTCCTTGTTCCTCTCCACCCTCTGCTCGCCAGTCAGACCAGCGTGAGAAGAAGAATCATCACCTCCGTCTGCGATAGGCTGTAGAGCTCCGCGACTCTCCCTTTCCATAATGTGTTGTCCACCACGAGCACCTGCTCTCTTGTCACCCTACAGCTCCTCCCTCCTCCTTCTTACCCCTCCTACTCTCAGCAGCTCTTTCTCCATGATGCGCGTGAAGTAGGTGCTGTACTGCTTCTTGTTTGCATCGAGGAAGATGAGGTCGAATTCTCTCGTCCTCGTGCCCGTCAGCTCATCCAGCACGTCCAGCGCGTCTCCTTGAATGAGCTCCACCCGCTTCCCCCTGCCTCCAGTCAGACTCGCCTCCCTCCCTCGCCTCCTCTTGCTGTGCGGTCACCAAGGGCACATCTCGATGTTGTTCTTCGCTATGGCCGCGACCTCGCAGTCTCGCTCCAGGCTTGTCACCTTCCCCTCCTCCCCGACAGCTGCGGCCATGCACAAGGCCGTGTATCCTGTGAAGCAGCCGAGCTCGAGCACCTGCTGATGCGCTCGAAGGAGTCCAACATCGGTGGGGGAGCAGGATTGCGAGAAAGAGGAGGGGGGAAGCGAGAGGTGGAGGGGAAGGAGAGGTTGGGATGGGGCTGCGGAGGAGGAAGAGGAGGAGGCGGGGGAGGAGGAGGTGGTGAAAGAGGAGGCATTGAGTTTGGTTCACCTGCTTGGCGTTCATCATAGCGATCAAGCTTGCAATGAACTTGGCCTGCACGACTCCGCTCATCATGTGCGCTCGTTGAGGCAGAGCCCTGGCTGTCTCCTCTCGCACTCGCTGGAGGTAAGGATGCTCCGCCGACGAGTGCTCCTCCGCGTACTCTGATGGCATCGATGGGTGAGGAGGAGAGGAGAGAAGGAGGGGAGGCAGTACTAGCGTTCAGATCATGCTCTTGTCCTAGGTGGTTCCTCTCGTCCAGCGTCCTCGCTCCTCTATCTGTCATCTCTTCAGCTTCTCCTCCCACGCACAAGCTCGCTACCTGCATCGCTCGGCTCCTCGGATTTGCTTCTCCCTTCCTCCTCCTCGAACTCCGAGAACTCTCTGCGTGATTGAGTTACAAGGGTAGACAAGGAGCATCGTTACCCGTTGGGCAGCAAACCCAAGCGTGAAATTGCCACCAGCGACTTAGCATGGCAAGCCTGCAGCAGGTGAGAAGAAGCAGCTCGTTTGCTTCTTCCTCACCTCCAGCGCCTTTTCTTCTTCCTCGAGCTTCTTTCTCGTCACCACCACCTCACCTTCAAGCCGAGCTATCCTGCCCTCCGACCTGCTTCCTATTAGCCAGCAGACACAGCAGGTCCTCCTCACAAGGCCGCGAGTCGTTGCTCCTCCTCCTCCGCTGCTTCCGCCGCCGTGTCTTTGGATTTCTTTCGCGATCGCAATTCTCTGCGAAGGGACACCTGCAGCTCCTCGAGTCTTCGTTGAGTCTCGTCTCGCTGTTCCCTCGCTTTCTTCTCGTCCGCACATTCAGAGCAGCAGCAGCCGTCTTGCCGGATCGCACACTCCTGACACTGGATGTACCGGCGACGAGCGAAGGGACGAGGGCAGTGAGTGTTGGCACAGTCAGTCTGCACGTCCGATGAGCAACCGCAGTTGATGCATCTGAGAGAACCATATCAGCGCACGTCTGATGCTCCTCCCCACTCCTCTCCGACACCCGTATCCCTTCTTCTGGCTTTCCTATCCTTTCGTCAACCCTCTCTCACCTTGAGAGAACTTCTTCTCCCACTCGCTGTCCGAGCCGCTGGTCGAATACGTGATTCACTCCCAAGAACTGCGACCTGCTCGAGTTACTCGCCTCACTCTGCCTCCTCCTCCCTCTCTCTCCCTCGTCCTCACCTCAACTGTTTCTCTTTCACGTATTGCGCGTAGTTGACTATCCCTCCTCTCAGAGCGCTCACGTTCTTGTAGCCCAACTCCTGGATGATGTAGGCGTTGGCCTTCTCGCATCGGATTCCACCCGTGCAGTAGGTCAGAATCTCCTTCTCCTTGCTCACCCCCTTGAGCGTCTCCTTCAGCGCATCCCACGTGTCTCTGAACGTCACCGTGTCCAGCGCCTTTGCCCCCTTGAACAGTCCGACCTCGCTCTCGTAGAAGTTGCGGATGTCGATCAGGATCGGCTTCGCGCCCTCCTCCTCCTTGTTCAGCTGCTCTACCTTGGAGTGCCACTCTGCTGGCGACAACTTCGCACCATTTTCTCTCCAGTCGAGAGACCTTGGAAGGCCATCGGCTAGCACGTGCTTGCGAGGTTTGATCTGCAGCTTGCTGAAAGGAGCGTACTCCTTGCTGAGAGGCTCGTCGCAGTTCAAGTATACGCCGTCGAGCTCGCTGTGGGCGGTGACAGTCTGCTTGAACAGCTCGAGCATGTTGTCGGGGACAGACACCTGCGCGTTGATTCCTTCTCTTGCTACGTAGACGCGTCCCAGCACCCCCAGGGGTTCCCAAGCTGCTCGCAGCCTGCGTGCGAGGTCCTCGGGGTCTTGTAAGGGATGCAGGCGGTAGAAGGAGACCATGATCCACTGCTCGGCCTCCTCAGGCCTGAGGCCGTTAGGAAGAGCGCCGTCAGCAGCGATGGCGTATCCTCGCTTCTCCTCCAGGTACGCTGAGAAGCCGGCGGTGTCCACGACTTGCAGGCGAAGCTTTCCGATGCCAGAGCTCCTCACCTGCTGAGCTTCTGCGAACAATCGCACGAGCTCCTCGTCTGTCTCGACAAACAGCAGGTTCCCCTCCTCGTCCCCTCGGTCTTGCCCTTCATCAACCTCCTCTTCCTCCTCCTCCACATTGTCTACTGACCCCATCGCCTGCGTGGGACGCACCGCTAGTCGATAAGCGTCTTCCGGCAAGGAGGCAAGAGGATGCGGCAGCTCGCGGATGAGAGCTTGCTTCAAGGCTCGGAGTGACTGGAGCTCTTCTAGCTCTAGAAAGAGCCTCGTGTGTTTGAACCGCTTGGCAAGCTTCAGCTCCTTTCTGAAAGCTGGAGAGAAGGAGACGACGATGGGGCGAAGCTCTCCGATTGCCACCCTCCTTGCGATCTCGAGGTTCTTCTCTCTTCTCTCCTTGTTACGAAGATCGACATCTACTGCTGCACATCGCAAGGTGACGCGAGGGTTTCTTGAGAGCCCTACTCGGATTCTCTGAAGCGTCGAGGAGAACCGTGCGAGTCTCTGGGGCTCAGCCATGCTTGGTGGTGACCATGGCTGCGTGGGAGCAAATGCAAGGACGCTTCCTAAAAGACTCAACGCAAGCAGCCCGAAGTACACATGGCATTTGTTTAGCCTGTGAAGCATGCTGCAAACATAAAAGTCAGTAATTATGCTTTGAATCTCAGTGCACACACACATCAATGTCCCTCACACCCATTCCCGCTGAATATTGTGCTGATTATGCAAAAGCTCCTTATGCTACTGCTACTGCTGCATGTGCTGCTGCTATCTTGCACAAAAAACTGTTCCTGTTTCAATTACAAACTCTGTCACAGACTCAGTATGTGTCGAAGTGTATGGGCGTATGAGTGTATGAGTGTATGAGTGTATGAGTGTATGAGTGTATGAGTGTATGAGTGTATGAGTGTATGAGTGTATGAGTGTATGAGTGTATGAGTGTATGAGTGTATGAGTGTATGAGTGTATGAGTGTATGAGTGTATGAGTGCAAGGTATATCAACAAGGTTTCTCTCATTACGTGAAGTGCATGTGCTGATGAACTTGTGATCTTACTAATTAGGTGGGTAGGGGTGGGATAAGGAGATGGGTACAGGTCGAGTTTAAGGGGTGGGGGTGGTATCAAAGAGAGGGTGGGGGTAGGGAACGGATGGATCGAATTTCGGGGGCCACAGCCATGCACAGCAGCTGACAACCACGAACAGAGCGGCTGACGGCCCGTCGGACCCGGCCGGGCCGCCGGGCTCCTCAACTTCGCCGCGGCCAAGCCTCGGGCCCCTTCCCGAGGCACCGGGCCCCTTCCCGAGGCACCACGCCGCGTGAGTGAGCGGCGGCCGGGCGGTGATCGGACCGCCACTGCCGCCTGTGACTGTGACGCCGCCGGGCCGCCCGGGCCGCAACTGTTGAAAGTTAGTTCACCCCGGCCCGGGCCCGGGGGGCCCCCGCCGTCGCGACCGGCGGCCAGAACGGAGCCGGGAGGCGAGTCAGCGAGGCGCCGGAGCGCCGGGCCCGGCCGCGGCGGCGCGGCCCGGCGGGCCGCGCGCGGCCGCACTCAGCGGCCCGTGCCAAGCCTTGAAGTCCGCGGCCGTCCGAACTTCGGAAAGGCTTAGGCCCCGGACTCGCCGGGCCCGCCGGCCGGGCCCGGCCGCCGCCCGCGCCCCCCCCCCCCCCGGGGTCCCCCCGGCGGCGGGCCCCGGCGGCCCGGGGCGGCCGGCGGCTGAGCGGCCGCCGGCGGCCCGGCCCGGGTCACCGGGTGATCGGACCGGCGGTGCCTCGCCGGCCCGCCGTGGGCGCCGGGCCCAGCCTGTCACAGCCAGTATGGCTGCTGAGCCTCGGACTCACCGGGGCTCCGACTCCGGGCGCCGGGACTGGAGGCCGCGGCGGCACGGTGTCCGACGCCGGACCGCCGCGGCCCGGCCGTACCGTAGTACGGTACTGTGACGCCGCCCGGCCGGTACTCAGGGCCCCGGCCCGCCGGACTCCCGGTCGCCGGGACTCGGCCCGGCGGCGAGTGACTCCAGGCTCACCGTGGCACTGTCCGATCATCGGATGTCGGACTCCCGGCGGAGCCGCTCGGAGCCAGGGGCCAACGGGGTCGCCATCCGAGGGGCGGGCCCGGCCGGCCGCGCCTGGCGGCGCCGCGCCACTGCCAGCCCGGGCCCCGGGCTCAGCGGCGGCTAGTGCGACCCGCGGCCGGGCGTGACTGCGGCACTGCTCGGACGGCAGTGGCGGGCGCCGCTGCGCGCCGCGCCGCGGCACGCGGAGTACACTGCCCCCGTGAGGGCCAACTTGCGGCCCCCGGCCGCGGCGGACCGTCGCCGTGACACGGTCGGACATTCAGGGCCGGCGGCCCGCCGGCCCGCCCGGCAGGCGGTTAGTAGCGTCCAGTCCTCTTCCCCAAACTTGAATACACGGATTGGAGATTATTATCATATTTACTACCCATTTCAATGAGGTTTACTACACATGAAGATGACAGAGGTCCGCTTCCTTGTCATGACCGTTATTTGTAACGCATATTTGATTTCGTCATGCATTCCTACCCCCACCGCCTCGATTCCGGCAAGTTCCAGGGCTACGCAGGCAATCCACCCGACTTCTTGGATTTGACCTCCATATCCCCTGACAGTGACATGCACCCAAACTCGGACATCGTGACGAAAAGAAATATTTTGGTCTGCAGCTGACCCTCACAAAGTTCGGCTAAAAACAATTTATCGCAACGATCTCTTACTACAGACAATTGCTGGCATCCATGAATGTCCCCTTACACAGTTAATTCGAGAAAACTATTTTAATAAGACATATGTATTATTGTATAAAACCTATAATAGTGTATCAAACCTTTTCATGTCCAATTCTGACCAACATTCTGTCTACCCCTTCTTTTCCCTTCATATGGAGGGGTTCATATCGACTTCTTGCCCTCTTCACCAGGGTTACAACACGCCGGTTATTTGAAAGGCTCTCTTTTTGAGGTTTTACTACAGGTCATTGGGGGTTTGTATGCTGGGGTTCTCAATTGCCTTTCTCATCGCACGATTTTCTTTCACCTCACTCCTCCTGCAGCACCTCTAGCGTCACTAGCGTTACTAGCGTCTTCCCTTCCACACCCTCTAGCGTTACTAGCGTTACTAGCGTTACTAGCGTTACTAGCGTCACTAGCGTCGCTAGCGTCTTCCCTTCCACACCCTCTAGCGTCTCTAGCATCTCCAGCGTCTCTCGGACCTCTCAAGCCTCCTTGTATGAACTTTGGGCTACCTTCAAGTGAAATGAGGATCGGACAAAAAGAATCGAAGATCATCAGCATTGCGCCGAGAGCAAAATACTCTGATAGAGAACCGGAAGGAAAATCGATAGTGAATTTGACTGTCGACGACATATCCGAACTCTTTGTTATGCGACAATCTGATGCTGCAAAGTACCTGGTAAGAATCAGAATCATTTCTTTCCATGCGAACCCACACTCATGTTTTGTTCTTGCAGGGCATTTCCCTCACGAGCTTGAAGAGTTCCTGCAGAATGTTGGGATTGGCCAGGTGGCCATACTCAAGGAAACGAAAGCAAGTTGGCGATCTTTGCTTGATGAAAGATGACAAGAAAGCAAATGTCGACCAGCAGACTGCTCCGAGTGACTCGGAAACATCCGACGACGAGATGGAGAGCCAAGATCTCAAGAGCTTTATCAACACCCAGAGCCAAGAGAGCACTGGACCCGCACAGCAGAGCAAATACAACAACGCACTTTCTTTTGTGCACCTCAAGGATTACCAAGAGCTCTTGTTCCTCGAGGCCTTGGAGCACGTGGATGGCAAGTAAACTGATGCTCTGTATGTACTCTAGTGTAATCTATACATCTATTTCGCCGTGAACAAGCTATAAATCCTCATGATTATACCAAATCGTTCCTTCTTGTCAAAGAGACATTGTTGACCCGCTCTTGCTTGGTTCAATTCAATTTTGCACTTCCACCTGACGGTAGTTTTAGTAAAGAAAGCAATGACACTCCACGCAAGTGGGTTAAAAGCTCACCACTCCTGCTTGACAGTCGGGATCGTCGACGTCACATGATCCGATGGGTATGAGGCATTGAGGAGCTGTAGATGGCAGTGACTGCCATAGTCTCTCGACGGCTTCGATGTCGCGCTTGATCTGCTCGCAGTAGCGAAGGAGGGGAAGGTTTTCTGTGAACCGAATGCCTCCTGGTCCCTCTTTGAGAAACCTGCTGTCGCCGGGAGTCCCGAACGGTTCCTCGATGATATGTCCTACTTCCTCAGAGCCGAAGAGAGCCCAACAAATGAGAGGATGCGAGATCACCGCCAGCAGGGGGCCGCACTGAGGCACGAGGTAGATGGGAGCCGTGAGAGTCCAGATGGAGAGAAACCTCGAGGTGTGACGAGAGTAGGAGAGAGGGACGGGAGTTGTCGCCAGCCTCTCCGTGATTGTGATCACCTTGTTCAGCTCCTGGATGTGTTGCTCTGCTCTCTCCCACACGAGGTTCATCGTCACCTTGGGTGAGTTAAGCAGAGGGGAGATAGCAGAGGACAGCAGCATGCAGAGGTGCAGGGGCATGTTTTGAGCCTTCTCAAGCTGCTTGATGTCCTCCTTAGGTAGCATCTTTGAGAGCTCCACCATGCTGTGCTGTCCTCGCAGGTGCTGCTTAAGCGCGTAGGGATAGGCCGTGAGAATCTGGAAAACCCTCAAGACGATATGATCGACCTCTGTCACTGACGTTGCTAGCAGAACCGCCATGGATCGGCAACGCTTGTGCACTGCTCCCCAGGCTTTTCGAGCTTCCCAGTACCTCTCGTACCCTGTGTTGGTCCTGAACGCAATCAGCAGCCCCAGGAATGATCCCGTGATGGTGTGAGCGTGGCCGTGAGCGGCTGGGAACGTAAGAGGCGACAAGGCGTAGAGGACAGCAATTCCCGAGCACACAAGAAAGTTCACCACCAGGCGAGGAAAGATCCTCTTGAAGACGCGAGAGCGAAAGATGGTGAGCAAGTTGGTGCTCCAGTAGTCGTCTGCATACCTGGAGATTGAGGAAAGTCGTCTGCCATCGTCTGTGAACCTGTACAAGGACGACAAGTATTCATCGGAGGCTCCGTTGGGAGATTTGTTCGCCCGATGCTTACTGAAGAACGACTCGATCTGAGTCGAACGACCGCGAAGGTCTCCGAGGTCTCCGACCAAGATGCCGTTTGAGGGATGCGGAGCCTCGTTTCTGTCCTTGTCAGGTCGGAAGAAGAGCCGCAAGAGGTTGGCTCCTCTCCGCCCGTCTTTGTCCTTCTTGTCCATTCCCACCATTCGCACACATCCCGCCCGTCTGATGCTCTGCTGTAAAGTTGCCCGCGCTTGACTTGCTTGCAAGAACTTGCTAGGAGAAGGAGGCCCAGCGGGCAAGAACGAGACGGAAAGAGGGAAGTTGAAGGTACATATGCATACAAGAAGTAAAGACGACCTGCTGCACGTATTAGGAGGAATGATGCCGGTCAAATGTGCATTACAACTTTCGAGTTGACATTAACAAACGAATTGAGCTCAACTGATCGCAGCGACGGGTTGTTTCATGTTTCTTTTCTTTGAGCTTCGAAGTTGGCCATCATGCTGCATATTAAAGTCACTACAATGTTCAATCTCAGCGCAGCTGCGAGCATCATCGAGCTAGTCTGATCTATCGACCCTGTCCTTCATCTCTTCTTTGTCCCTGTCCCTCCTCCTCACTTCCACCATCCGAGGGTCTTGTTGTTGATTGCTCCCCTTGCAACACTCCAATTTGCATGACCCCACCCCTTCTGCCTACCTCAATTTTACACCACCCCTCCCGTCATTCTCTCAATTTTACACCTCCCCAGTAGGTGATATAAAACCATGTCAGAACAGCGATCTAGCGTTCATGTAGGAGTTGAAGATGGCAGAACAGCGATCTAGCGCTCATGTAGGAGTTGAAGATGGCAGAATAGCGATCTAGCGTTTATGTACAGGTCGAAGATGTCAGAATAGCGATCTAGCGCTCATGTACAGGTCGAAGATGTAAGAATAGCGAGTTAGCTTCAAGTGTTTGTCTCCACGTTATGAGTAGAAGGATTTGTCCTCAAGCATCTCTCTTCCATCTTCTGCCTGCACTTCAATCGATGATCTTCTCGACTGAGGGAGTACGAACACAGATTGAGCGTGGGAATGTCGCAAGCAATTCAGGGGTTGATGGCTGCGAGCTATTTGTTTGAGCGACGCAACCATCTCATGTTGTGCAGCCTCGAATCGTTTCTGCCAAGACATCAAGAGGAAGCAACAAGCACTGATGAGAAACAAGCACTGATGAGAAACAAGCACTGATGAGAAACAAGCGCTGATGAGAAACAAGCACTGATGAGAAACAAGCACTGATGAGAAACAAGCACTGATGAGAAACAAGCGCTGATGAGAAACAAGCGCTGATGAGAAACAAGCACTGATGAGAAACAAGCACTGATGAGATACCACAATCGAGATCGAGTCTTCCTTCCCTTGTCCGGCTGAGCATGCGACAAACTCTGCATCGTCAAGGTATCCCTCATCCTGCTCGTGCGGGGCATCACACCCAACTTCAATGCGAGCAGCGCATCACCTTGAGGTGACGGAGGACGCTGAACCCTTCCTCGTCCGCAGCTTTCTCGTGGTTGGGCTGACTTGCGGTGCTGGTGCGTCGCGACATGTGCGAGGGCTTGAGAGGGGCGACGTTCCTCCTGCCCTTCCACGTGCACAGACTGTAGACGCACTGCAGCAGACAACCCACGATGGCGCAGAGAGCTGGACCCCACGAGACCCAGAAGCGAAGCTTGCTGGAATCTGAGAGAAGACATCGTCAGAACGAGACCAACAGCTGCTGCTGCTAGAGTTCAGCTGGAGCTGACCTGGAGCTGTGAAGGTAGCTTGCACCTTCACGTTAAAATAGTCGTGATGGTAGGAGCTGATCCTCCGCGGAGAAACCCGCGACTGTCGCCTTGCTGCTCCTGTTTCGTTGGCAAGGATCTGATGCACAACTGTGAGAGGAGGAGGGAGGAAGGGGCTGCAGAGAAGATTTGAGGAGGAGAGAGGGGAGGAGGGGGGGAGGGGGGAGGAGGGGGAGGGGGGAGGGGGATGTGGAGGGAAGACAAACCGCAGCAATGCAGCTGTCAGCTTCCTGCCCGCTTGGGATCATGTTGTCCACTGATAGGCCGCTGGTATCGAACATGCACTTGACGTAGACGACTCCGTGACGGACCTGCGAGACGGTCAGCGAGACAGACGGAGAGAGGGAGATGAAGCCATGGAGGCACCTGCGGGTAGACGATGCCGTCGTTGAAGGGGAAGTAAGTGATGCGATACAAGCCGTAGTTGGGCATGCCTGTGCTCCTGTTGTTGCTGTATCCATCCGGACTGATCCCGTATTCGACTGTGATGCCGACGTTGAGGTCCAGACTGCCTCCCTCACACGTCACGCTCTCGTCCTGTTGCCCCACCGATGTGCAAAACTCAAAGCTGATCCTCTCGGACCCTGCGGGAGCGACGGCCGGATCGACTCTGACGGCGTTGCCGAAGCCATCGCGAGTCTGCACGAAGAGGGAGGAGGAGACGCCTGCTCGGATGCTTGAGAAGTCGCCGTAAACATAAGACTTGAGAGGATCCGCGGGAGAGCTGGCGACCTCTAGGAGGAAGGGCGACCCCATCCCCTCCTGCCCGTTGATGGACACGGACAGCCGGTAGGCTCCAGCCCGGGTGATCCTGTACGCCACGTGGTAGCTCCCGTCCGAGTTGTCGCTGACAGCTGCGCTCTCGGGCTTGAGGTCCGGCTCCACCGCCACGTTCCTCGCAGGGTCCCAGAGGATCATGATGACGCTGACCGAGTCTCCTCCCGGCGACAAGTTCTCGTGCTTGTCCTTTGCTGTCAGCATGAAACTTGACGCCAACCCTGCTGTGGTGAGCGTCAGGAAGCTGCCGCTGCTGGTTGACACCAGGGCATCGGTTGTTCCTGCAGCCACGAGGAGGGAGAAGGGGTTCTGGTTGCTGCGGTTGCCGAGGAGCTCGAACTCATGGATGCTGTTGGAGGGATTCTTGTCGTAGCCCTCGATCAGGTTCTGATGCTGCACGCCTCCTCTCCCCACGTAGATTTTGAGCAAATACGACCCCGACTTCACTGGTGTATAGGACCCCTCGTACATCCCCTGCCCGAGCCCGACAGGGGAGATAGTAAGGGAGGGAGATCCAGCACTCACAAGCTCCACGCGGAACCTCGCGCCGTCAGCTGGGCGTCGGAAGCTGTCCTATGAGAGGAGAGGAAGGATGAGACGACAACAAATGCTTTAAAAAGGAGGGAGAAGACAAGAGAGAGGAGGAAAGAAGATCAACCTGGCACTGAAGGAAAATCTTTGAGGTGACGCCAGCAACGGCTCCTGTCAGTCCTTGTCCGGTCGCACTGCAGAACTTGTAGAAGGGATCGGCAAGAGCGAACTCGTTGAGGTCCGAGAGCTCGCGGAAGGTAGAGCCCTCGTAAGTTACTCCTCCCTGATACCCATCAGTTCCTTCTCCTCCCCCTCCTCCTCCTCCTCCTTCCTCTTCATCCCCATCCTCACACTCGCCTCCTACTCAGACACTCGCCAACCTCCTGCATTTCTCTCCTTGTTCTCATAAGCACCTCCCTTACTCACAAATAAGTACAGCTCGTTGTCAGATGTGTCGACGATCCCTCCGCCGGCAAACCTAGCCGCAGGTTTGCTCCCTGCCACCTCCACCTGGCAGGTTTGTGTGAAAACTCTAGAGTAGCATCGCTCTCTTCCGCATCCTCTCCGTCCTCTCCTCACCTTCGTCCATGGCAAGAACGCCCGGCAATCTCCTGTGGTGACACACTCCATGGTGAGGTCTTGGAGGTCGAGGTACCTTGGGGCTTGTCAGGTATAACTCGTGGGAGAGGCAGCAGCAGCACCATAGATCGTCGTAGAGGACGGCAGAAGAGGAGGAACGACCAGCAAGAAAGTCTTGGAACCCTGACTGCCCGCACTCTTGGCTCTGACATCCCATCCCACCGAAGACGAGGAGCTTGCCGTTCGCTCCCCCCTCGCTGTCCATGATGCGAACGGTTGCGTCTCTCCTTGGCGGCGGGCAGGTCAAGTCAAGGTCGCAGGACGTCAAGAGGTTGACTGAGGTGGCATCGTTGTAGCTGAAGGAGACTGAGGTCACCGCGTTGCTCAACTTCCATCCTTGACTCGTGACGAGGTCTGACTCCTGACCTCCGAACGTCAGCAAGACATCCTGCAGGCCCGTCAGCTCCGCTCCTCGCCCTCTCCAGGCTCAAACCTTGTCGTCCATCGCCAGAGCAACCGACTGATGCCCATGCCGAGGTCGCGGCAGAGAGCAGACGAGCCCTTGAGGGCAGGCAGAGGGAGAGGAGACGTTGCCGCAGTAAACGGTCGGACTTGCTCCTCCACTCTGATTGCGTTGTTGGCAAACGCCTCGCAGGCATCCTGTAGGGTGAAGGAGTGAAAGCAGGCGGCAGAGTGAGGGGTCAGAGCAGGCGGCAGAGTGAGGGGTCAGAGCAAGCGGCAGAGTGAGGGGTCAGAGCAAGCGGCAGAGTGAGGGGTCAGAGCAGGCGGCAGAGTGAGGGGTCAGAGCAGGCGGCAGAGTGAGGGGTCAGAGCAGGCAGCAGAGTGAGGGGTCAGAGCAGGCGGCAGAGTGAGGGGTCAGAGCAGGCAGCAGAGTGAGGGGTCAGAGCAGGCGGCAGAGTGAGGGGTCAGAGCAGGCGGCAGAGTGAGGGGTCAGAGCAGGCGGCAGAGTGAGGGGTCAGAGCAGGCGGCAGAGTGAGGGGTCAGAGCAGGCAGCAGAGTGAGGGGTCAGAGCAGGCGGCAGAGTGAGGGGTCAGAGCAAGCGGCAGAGTGAGGGGTCAGAGCAGGCGGCAGAGTGAGGGGTCAGAGCAGGCAGCAGAGTGAGGGGTCAGAGCAGGCAGCAGAGTGAGGGGTCAGAGCAGGCAGCACAAGACTGAAACGAGCAGCCGTCAGCCTCTCACTCACTTGCCGACATGTTCGATCGCTCGCATGACACCTTCACGTCAAACTCGTAGGCATTGACGCCCAGGCCTGTCAGCCCGTACGCGATGTAGCCGTTGAGAGCCTGCGCGTCAAATTCGGAGGCCCTGCCGTTGACGGGGGACCAAGAGGCGTTGCGGAGCCATGAGGGTCTTGCGAGGGATCGCTCGAGAGCTGCGACAGACTCCCTCCACCCCTCTCCGTCTCTCCACGCCTGCAGCAGACACAGAAGCTGACCCTCCTCCACCTCCAGCTGGACTTCAGTTGACGTACTCCCTCTCAGCTGGACCCTGAGGTCTGACGAGGTGACGGCCGGGGCTCTGACTGTGGCGCACGTGTTGATGAGCATCAGCAAGTCGGTCTGAGCTCCCAGCAGCGTCGTTGGGCTCAGCTGGTCGAGGACGAAGACAAGCTTGGCGAACCTCCTCTGCTCGCTGCTCTCGATGTACCACATGTCTGCCATTGCCTTCCCCTCCCTGTTCACTCCTCCGAGCAGCACCAGGTCGTTGCTCGAGGAGACGAATCGGCCGGTCAGCATGGAGTGCAAGCATCGAGCTGCAGGTTGTCGTCCGGTCATGTCAAGTCGCAACCTGGTGACGCTGTAGGATTGCTCCGAGGTCTCAACAAACAGCATCGCGTCGCTCGTGGGCTGATGTTCCTGTCCCTCACCTGACATGAACGTCTTGCCATCCTCGTACGAGGTCTTGATCCCGCCGTGAACGATGAAGGCGTGAGAGGAGGAGGCCTGGAGCTTGAACAAGGACATCGCCGACAACAGCCTGGGGCCGAAGGAGGAGTTGGACGAGGTCAGCCCAAGCATGCGCCATGTTTGCGAGGTGAGGTCGAGCTGCCAAAGCTGGTGCAGCCCCTTCCTGTCCTGCTCGCCCCCGTACATGACCAGCACCGCCGCATCCACTGAGAGGACGCCAGCGAAGGCTCGCGGGGTGGGGCTGTCAGCGATGACGGGGAGGATAGAAGTTGAAGTTTCAGGAAGCAGCGAGGAAAGGGAAGAGATGAGCACAGAGCTGGTGAGAGAATTCTTGACGAGTCCTCCGAACATGAAGACATGCGTAGAGTTACAAGCAGCTGCTGACCCGCTGCTGGTAGGGAAAGTGTTGGAGAGGTGAAGCTTGGCCGCCCTAGATTGCAGCGAGAATTCTCTGGTGAGGAAGGAGCGGTTATTGGCTGCGGGGTTGACGCCAAGAAGCACTTGGAGAGGAAGCAAGCTGCTCTCTTCCCCCCCGTAGACGACCACGTTGATCTCTGACACCTTGAAGATGAGCAGGGTGAAGAACGAGAGGCCGCTGAGCTGTGGTGACATGGCGATGGCAGTCATGGGAGGGAGGCCGGAGAAGAACTTGCGCAAGTCAAACTCCCATAGGTCGTTGAGAGGAGAGAGGGAGGAGCAGATCTCTCCCCCGCCCCCCCATGCTCCACATCCTACTCCCCCGTACACGAGCATCTTCGACTCGTCCAGCATGGCAACCGCATGTCCAAACCTGACGGGGAACCAGTTGGATTTCTTAGTCCTCGAGGTGCAGGATTGAGCGCCATCAGCGCATAATTGCCGCCAGCCTTTCCTGGGCTGGTAGGGAGGAGGAGCAGTGAGATAGCTGGAGAGGTCAGAGAGCGAAGACAGCAGAGGACGCGAGGAGAGCTGAACTGCGGGCATCCTCGTGAAGGTATCCTGTCCCAGCAGCACAAGCGTACCTCCATGCACTGGCTTACACACTTTGTCTCCGCAGGACTTTGCTACGCCGTTCAACAAGCAGCAAGGGGGAGAGGAGAGAGCCGTCAGAAGGGAGGAGGAGCTCTCAAGGGACTGCAAGCTCTCGTTGCTCCCTGCCCGAAGCTCTTTGGCGGTTGTGTTGAGCCAGAGGGCCGAGGAGGAGGAGAACTGAGCGAGAAAGGTGACGCCGCGGAGGCAGACGCGGAGAGTGTTGCGAGAGTCTTGGATGCAGCCGCCCTGCCGATCTCTTGCCGTGGAGTTGACGAAGACGGTGAGGAGAAGCGAGCTGTCGGCTCCTTGTTGCATCACAGTCTCTATCAGCGACTTGGTTGGCGTCACCACCTCCGTCCCCTGTGGCAGGCGAGAGGTGAAGGAGCTGGCGCTGCTGCTGGAAGACTCGAGGAGGAGGACGCTGATCGCGTTGCTCTGAGAGCCGACAGAGCGGACGGACGCGACGCTGCAGTTGCTTCCTGTCTCATCCTCCTTGATGAGCTCGACGGCTGCAGACCCGAGGATGATCCACTTGCTGGAGCTGAGAAGGCCGGAGCTGTCGGAGATGGCGTGCTGGACTCCGCAGATGGAGAGGAGGGGGAGCACAGGAGCACGAGAGACAGGAGGGTTGCGCACCGTGAAGCTCAGCTCGAGGAAGGGCCGCGGGTCAGCTCTAGAGCTCCAGATGTCCTTCGTGACAACCACCGTGAGTGTCCCCACGTCTCTTCGCCACGAGCCCAGCCCGGCCCCAGCAGAAGCCGACAAGCTCGCCTGGACTCCGCTGCAGGGCAGGGAGTTGCAGTCAGCGTCCTGGTTGTTCCAACGGCAGAGGGTCGGGCCGGAAGCTGCGCAGCTGACTGGCAGCTCCTCCGTGTCCGCTGTCAGCGTTCCTGTGAGCCCCTCCAGCACGAGGACGAGGACGCCGCCCTCCCCCGTCCCGCTGCTGTTTCTCTCCACCTTGACGGCTGGCAGGTCAAAGTTGGTGACGTCGACGAGGAAGGTGACTCGGAAGGTGAGCGTGTTGAGCTCGCCTTGGACGCTGCTCGTCTCTGACGCCGTGAAGGAGAAAGGGACGCGATTCTTGCAGACGCAGCCCAGGAGGGGAAACCACTCGAAGCCTTGTCCGCACGTGTCTCTCACGCTCACACCAGACGCTCCTCCCTTGAGCTTCTCCGGCAGCCGGCGCACCTCAGGGTCTCGCTCGCTCCCTGCCCACTCGCCTGATCGTCCATGACGCCATGACCGCACCAACATCTCCGAGAGCTCCTGCGGTCCCGAGGCAGAACTTGCAGGCTTAGTGAGCTGCTTACTGTCTTGCAGGTGCTGCAGAAGAGACGGAGACGTGTTCTCCTCCTCCGCATGAGATAGTGGGAGGAAAATCGTGTTGGCACTGGCAGACGCGGGTTCTTGCGACAAGTTACAGTCCATCGAGAGCTGAGACGAGGAACTTGTGGAGAAGCTGCAGACAAGACCCTGCTGGCTAGACGGAGAAGAAGGAACGACACCTGCCACAACCTCGCACGCCACGCAGCATCGCTCTATCTCACAGGTCCCGTAAAGGAAGTAGGTGTCCTTGCAAAAGTTCTTCACCTTGCCCGACACATTCTTCGTCTCCCACCTGCGGCACATTTCTCCTCCCCCAGCTACTTCCAACTCGATCAGCTCGCAGCAGTTCACATTCGACAAGCCTGAAGCTGCTGCCAGCTGAGAATTATTTGCGATACAGAGCCCAGCAGGGCAGGAGCTGTCGCAAATCCCCACACCATTTTGAACCCGCACGCTGGAAGCATGGAGGCCGGAGAGAGCAAGAGGGTCGAAGCAGGAGCACTCCCACTCCTCACAGAGATCTGCCGGACACCACAGGTTGTGAATCGTCTGCGGGGTCGCGCAGGAAATGGAGGAGCAGGAGTTGTTGTACTTCATGTCTCCGTCAGCGAAGCAGAGCTCTCCTCCTGGCTCGCAAATCCTCGCGTGCTCATAGCATCGCTTGCACGTCCTGTGAAGGTTGGGAGGGCACTTGCAGTTCCTGATGGTCGTGGGACAGTCGACGAGGTCGAGGCACTGGCAGTCCTCCTCCTGTGCGTACTTGTCAAGCCGCGTTAAGTCCTTCATGCCCTGCTGCACACAGTCAAGGTCAAAGTCGCCGCAGTTGCCGAAGGTGCATCGCTCTTGGAACGGGCAGCCGTCGCAGAAGGCAGTGAGATCACTGCCGGAACAGAGTGAGGGACCTCCATGGGCTGAATTGATGAGGTGTCTCCCGTCCTGTGCTGTGTAATCGTCGAACTTGATGTCTACAAGCACATCGCTGTCATGCGGACTAGCTACAACTGTGTTGAACATGTTCTGTTGCACAGGATACGCGACATGGCGCATCTCCACGTCAGCCTCCTGTTGACAGGATGAGCGGAGAGAGGCGAAGAGAGGAGGAGGTTTCACTCACAGACAGTCTCTTGCCGCTGGTCTGGTCGACAGCGGAAGGAACTCTGGTCCCATCTCGCAGGATCGGGTACAGGAAGGCATAAGGGTTGCACCTGCTGGGGTCGGTCGAGTGAGGACAGGAGGGCCACCACAGTCGGAACTGGTCGACGTCTCCCTGCAAGCTCCTGTACCCTTCAGCCTCCTTGGCCGTCCGTGACCCTCCGATGTAGATGGACGAGATGCCGGTGGACAGGCGGAGAGTCGCTTTCATGTCGAGCTTCTCGAACATTCTTCCTGCCTCGCCCACATTTCGCCCGTCGATGAAGAGGAAGGCTTGAGCTACCCCCACGTCTGGCTCCGCATGCAAGGCAGAGAAGATTCGACCAAAGCGTAAGGTGAGGCAGAAATGATGCCATCGTCCTACTATTGTATCTTCTATTGGGCCCCACGTCTTGACAAGTGTCTCGACCTTGGTTTAAACGTTACTTGGAAACAGCTTCATCAGCGTTACCTTTCCCGGACGGAGAAGCAGCGAGGCGAAAATCCCTCCTTGCGCTCTCTGGATGTACAACCGAAAAACTGGCAGGGCATTGCTGTACGCTTCCAAGACGATCATAGGCGACGAGTCTACCACGTGGAAGCAAATCCAAGAGTCGAAATGAAGAAGAGACAGACTGGCAGCCGATGCACACCTTCAAGTCTTGTCAGCTCCACACCCTTCATCAAATGGGTCTACCAGGATGGTAAACTGATCTGAATGACGTCATCTTTCCCGTCAAAGCTCGCCATCTTGCGGGTGTCATCAGCACTCTGAGCATCTATCAGTATCATCTATCAGTTTCTTCGCAAGCAACCTTGCTGTACGCGTCAAGAAGCCAGATGTCATTCATTGGTTGCAACACATCGCAGAAGCTTGGGTTGTCTGCACATTTCAGTGCTGATGCTCCCCCGACAATTGCGAAAGGCTGACGATATCCGTCCAAGGATGACACGGACACCATCGAGCTAAACGCTCTCGCCTGTGGTCGTTGCGCAGTTTGCGCTATCGGAGACCACAGCATGGCGACTGAGTCGAACAGCCACAAGTCATCCACCATCTCGGCGTTGGCGATCCTCAGAGGATACGCAGTACAGAGTTTGTCATTCAGAAGCACCCCGCCATGCACAAGTTTCACCAGGCCTGATGAGGCATAGGAAGGGAATGCTCGTGCTTGAGGTCGGAGGGTGGGCAGAGGCTTCTGGCACGAGGGATCATCGCCATACTGGCAAGTCCAGCGACCATCGTTGAGGTCCAAGCTCCAGAGGTCGTCGAGGCGAGAAGGCCCGTAACTGACACCAAGAGAGGCAAAGAGCCTATTGAAAGAATCGTAGAAGAGGACGTGACCTGTTCTCGCCGGGGGACTTTTTCCAACCGCAGACTCTGCGGGGGTTCATCAAGACAGGAAGGGAGCAGAGGATAAGACCTGTAGTCCAACCAAATCCAGCTTCAAACTTGGACAACCTGCCCGTCTCCTGCCCTTCTGCTCCAAGACCACCAAAGCCGTACGCATCAGACGAGAAGACAACACTGACAGGCATGTGCGAAGTTGCTGGAGCGGATTCAGATGAGCCAAATTTCGACCATAGCAGAGTGTGAACATCGAAAGTCCAAGTGTCGGAGAACACCTGGAGCAAACGTCATGGATACTGCATCTGCACTCTCTGACTTCAAACTTACTGAAGACGTTCCCTGCCCTCCCCATCCCTGACCTCCGTGAATGAACAACTGCGAGTTCAGAAGCCACATGGAATGAAAACCTCTGCCTGTGGGCTTCTTTGAGTTGGGGAAGATTTCTTCCCAACGCACGTCAGCCTTGTCAGCGAAGTCAATGAGAGCCCACAGAGAGTTGTCCATCAAGACAGCAGAGTCTCGATGAGCAAAACCACCGAACACAAAGAACGACTGGGTGTCACTGTGAAACACTGTCCCGTGACCAAACCTCGCTGAGGGGTGATAAGTGCCGGTCACATCCTGACATCTTTGCCACTGGAGGGTCGAGGCAGCGGCACTTGTGATGGGAACAAACCAGCAGTCGTCCATGGGATGTATGCCTGTGCTGTCTACTCCTCCGAACAATAGTGCGTGCCCCGTGCGCTCGTCGAAAGACATGCTGTGACCCCACCGTGCGGCAGGAGTCGAGCCCTCGAACGATACTTGCTCCCATGAAGGATACGGAATGAAATGTAGAAGCCAGCAGTCAAGGCGCAGAGGATCATAGAAAGAGAAGCTCTCATTGCTTCTCGACACGTACCCCCCACACATCAGAGCTGCCTGGCCAACCGAGATCATCGTGTGTCCACTTCGGCAGCCAGGATCCTTGTGAGCGGTTCCGTCTAGAGCACAGACACTTGAGTTGTGTCTGTTAGGCTTGACTTCACTCCAGAATCTCCCGACTGAATCCAGCCTCCACACATCGCACAGGATCTCCTCCGCCCCATTCTTCTTTCGGGAGCTGCTCCCCGAATTGAAAGTTCAAGTTGAAACAAACAACGCGCTTAAGGATAGAACGAGAGAGAAATCAAGACTCACCCTCCGTACAGGATCGGCGTTCCCTCTGCACTATGCAGCACAGCCATGCTATGACCATACCTTGCAGCCGGACTTTGTCCGACAGGAGGAATGTTTTCCCATTGCACAGCTGTCAACATCATCAGAATCTGTGAGGCGACATAAAGCAGCTGTACTCACGAGTCGTATCGCAAGCAAGGAACGATGAGGCCATTAAAGCATAAACAATGCCCCTCGTGAACCCGCTGCCTTTGCGAGCAGACGACATTTGTCTGCTCCCGCTTAGCAGGTGAAACTTGACGGCAAGGTCATGGATCAACTTTGTTGACGCTTGAAGGGAGCGGAAGGCAGCGACGTATGAAGATCGCTCGTCCGAGCCATGAGGATAGGCAGCCATGCTCCTGCCATACCGGCTTCTCACTGCCAAACAGCTCTCCTCCTTGTGGTCATTCTGAAGCAACCATCAAGGCCCAGGGAGGTTTAGCAGGGGTGGGGTACTTTTATTAGAGCAGTACCCCTCAGGGAATGGGAAAAGGAGGGGTGAGCTTCATTATGAGGATGAGTAAATGCAGAGGCGCAACTACCTACCCCTCTTGAGCGTGGGTGGGTGGGGGGTAGTCAATGGCTGTCACTCTGCTCCCGTAATTGGATGAGAGCTTTTTCCTCCCACGTTATGTCAGCAGAGTCAGCGATCTGAAAGCAGAGCGTCATTGCTAGCTAGAAGTTACTGTCTTTTTTCTCCATCTATCAAATCAACTTGGCTTGAACGCCCGGTCATGGTGCGGGCCTACGACTTGTATGGGCCGCCCGGCCGCGCGGCGCCACTCAGAGGGCCTGGCCGGGCGGCAGCCTCAGGCTCAGCCTACCGTACGGTCCGGCGGTGACGGTGGGCCCGGCGAACGCGCACTCAGCCAGTCGCGGCAGACTCCGAGGCCGCCCGGCGGTGTGCCAGGCTGCCGGGCGGCCGCGCCGGTGATCGAGTCATCGGATAGTACCGTACCGGGCGGTACGGTACCCCGGCGGCGTACCGTACCGTACTTCTTTACTCAAAGTGAAGTGAAAAACCGTACTAGGCTAGTACGGTACGGTACCGTGGGGCCGGGACGCGCCGGGTTCCGAGTTCAACGCCGTGACGGCCGGCGTGACGGTTGCCACCGAACGGTTGACCGTCGCCGACTGCAAGTTCCCGGAGTCCGGCGGCCGAGCCTAGTCCGATCAATCATGCCAGAATGAGCCTCGGACTCCCCGCCCGGCCTCCGGCTGCCGGACTACGCCGTGACGACGGTCCCGGAGGCTGTGCCAGCCGCGGCGGCGCCGCTTTCGCCGGGCCCAGTTTCTGTGGAGCGCCGCGCCGCGGCCGGACAACTCAGTCAGCAGACGGTTCCGACGCCCGGCACTAAGTTCGTCGACAGGCCTGCCCGGACTCTCCGAGGCTTGACGCGCCGCGCGGCTCTGGCGGCGTGCAAACTTAGACAACTCAGGCAAGCCTTGGTTTCCGGTGATTGAATGATTCCCAAATCACTGAACTTAACTGGGTTACCCGAAGCCTTTTCTACACACGGACAAAAGCTTGAATCACTGAGGTTTCACCAGATCCTGAAAAACTGATACTCCAGTCCGATGATCTTCTTGGAACATAGCATTGCAATTGGTGTACATCATTGACTAAGTCGTCTTAATTCAGATCGAGGTTTACTTGCTCAAGATAATGAGCGTGCATTAAAGGATCTGAGCATAAGAGAAAATTTAGAATGTTTTAATGTGATTCAATGAATACAGATATGAAAATAGTGTCTATTGTACAAATCCAGCTCAACCCCTTCCGAAAAAAATGAAATTCTAGCAAAAGCCCCCGAAGGAAAAAGATCTAGTAGCTCGATTTCTGCTCGAGGATATAAAATTTCCCATTTCATCAATTGCACTTCCAAATGGACTTCGTTCGAGCAATTCCACCGGTGCATAGCTTCCTTCTGATAGAATTTCTCCAAGGCGCCCAATAGACTTCTCACTCGCTAGTTGCCCTTTTTTCTCGCGGTGTGTATTGCTTGCTTGTTCTTGATAAGGGTTTTCCGGGATGGGATCAAAGAGTTGTACTGGGATCTTTGCCAGGTCAGAATCGTAGTATCTGCTTCGGACTTTGACATCGGATGAGGATCTGTTTGACATCCTTTGTAAAACCCACTCTTGACATCCATCATAAGTGCACGTAGGAGACGAGCTTAGATCAACATCCTTCATTATCATCGTCTCTCGTGTGCTGAGCTTTGCCAACGCTTCAGGAGATGAGTATCTGCGCGAATACATGTTTTGAGTAGAAGCGCACATCTCCGAGTTTGAAGGTCTGAAATCAAAAACGCTCTTTGCTCTGGAAGTAGGTATCTTGTATGAAGATATTTGAACAGCCAAACGGATCTTTCAAGTCTTGAGAGACAGCCTGCTTGAGTCTCACAGTCTGGCCTGCTGTACAGGAGCGCTGCCGAGATCTCCCTGTTGTTCGGATACGATGACAGACTGGAAGGAGATGTCGAAATAAAAGGAACGGGGGACGGGAACCCTAACAAATAATTGTGCCTAACGTTGAGATTTTGCATCGATTGATGCAGATTTGTGTCAGCTGATCTTGTATACGAAAGTTGTAGCTTTGGGGGTGGGTGACCTTGTGACCGAAGCACTTGTGTCTGGGTACTCAACAGTCATGTGGGTACGGGGATAGTCGAAATTAAATAGAGCTCACAATATGAATAGCTGAGGCTGTCATATGGAGTTTCGGACTCCTTTTGTCAGGTACAACTTAGGTACCGGTCACTGGCTACAAATAGGGAAGGTGGGTGGGAATGTTTGGCTGTAAGACCCATCGTGTAAGGTTCCCTTTACGGTACCGGTAACTCGTAAAGAGATTCTTTGTATGAGTGGGGGGTGGGGTCATCTCCTCACGTCAGTCAGCATTTTATTTGCTCCAAAAGGCTCATGCTGCCTCACACTACCCTGCCAACGCCCGATGACTACCCCACCCCCTCCAGAAGAAAACTAAAATCTAACCAAGGAATCTCAACTGTCGATCACCCCCACCCCGTTGATAGAAATGCGAAGAGGGGGTGCCATCTTGTAGAAGCCCTTTGAGGGTACCTGCCCGATTATTAACCGATGTTCTTATCCACTGCCACCAGACGTTGACTCAACGACCATTGATTCACACCCCCTACCCCCACTATTCAGCCTCGGGACCCTACCTTTTCATCTGACCATGGGTTCCTCACTCGGCACAAATCGAAATATTTCCAGACCATCCCGATTGCACTGGAAGCCGGTAGAAGAGGCAGAGAGGCTATCCCTTAAAAACAATCTCCATTAGCCCTTTCTGTGATCTCAATCGCCGCCTTCTTGGTATCTGAGGAATCGGAGGCCATGTGGTTGTGCCTCATAACACCATCGCTTGACATCTCATCTTGCAGCCTTTCAGAGTTAGGACTTCATTTACAACGGTGTGACAAGATTAATCGACTGAAATCTCTTTATTTCACATCCAAGGTCATCGCCAGACCCCTTACAGCGGCCCCTGACGAGGAGGAGAGTCATACTTGAAACCCCTTGCGAGGCCCTGAAGATCTTATTCATAGTTTGATGCCTCTCGATCTCATACCCCACTAGCACTGAGGCGAGCTTGTGAGATTCCCCTGAGATGGTTCTAAGGCCTTTGAAATAGCTCTTTCCGAAGTTCACAGTGACGGTCAGACGGTGTCACGGTGCCTCGTGACCGTACTTTGCCAACGATTTTCAACTTGATGATTGCCCGGCGCGGCCGCCCTGCAGGCCGCTGGTCAGCCGGCGGGCAGTGACGGAGTGCGAACTGAAACTTGAAAGCCCGGCGAGTCGGAGTACGGTCCCGGCCCGGCCGGGCCACGGTGCCCGGGGGCCGGGCCCGGGGGTGATCGGACATCACACGGTTGATCAGTGACCGCTTAAAAGTCAGTGTTTGCGAGCCGCAGTACTGCGGCTCCCGCATAGCGCGGGCCGGCCCGGGCCCGGGGCCCGCGGGAAGGCCGCCCCGGCGGCTGGGCCGGGCGACTCAGTGGCCGCTGAGCCGGGCCGGGCCTGCCCGGTGCCACCGCCCCGGCAGGGCCGCCGCTGACTCTGAGTCTGCCCGGCCGGGCCAACAGTCAGATCCCTCCGGACGCCGGGTCATCACTCCGGCTCAGCTCCGAGCCAGTCACTGGCACTGCGGCCGTGAGAGTGACTGTTTATGAGCCGCTTCAAAATAACTGAGTAACGCCGGCGCGGCCGTGACGGTCCGGTCACGGATCGGGACTGCCGCATGCGCAGTGCTAGTAGCCGAGCCGCTGACTCGCGCGGCGGCCGCGTCCTGATCGGATCATCGCAGGCCGCGGCCGCTGAGGATCGGACCGTACCGGGCGGCCCCGGCCGTCCGATACGGTCGCCGGCGCGCGCGGCCCCAGTGGAGTCCGATCCGTCCGACTCGCAGTCCCGCGGCCCGAGCCGGGCCCGGCTGTCACAGTGTGCCCGGCCGCACTGCAGGCTGGTGTTGAACGGGCCCGGGCTGGGACGGACTCGGCCCGCCTCATTATGGAAGTAGGAAGAGCGACAAGGCAGCGGAGTGAGGATCGGACGGCGCTGCTAGAGGCTACGGTACACCCCCTGCTGTACCGTTACTACCGCGATGATACCGCTTGCGATCCACTGGGCCATTTAGAGCCGCCAGTGGTAGAGTGTAGTGCAGTGCGGCTGCCCGCGTTGATGAGAGCGAGGACTAGTGGACTCAGCGGCATGGGAGATCATAGTAGAGCATGGAGCTCAATCACCAGGCACTTTTTGAGCCTCTCAGTGTGAAGCTTAGTACGCAAGTTAGATTTGTATCAAAATCAAAGTTGACATGTCCCCGATGATATCGTTTTTGATGTTCGTTTGCAGCGGGTTCTCAAAATGCTTGGATCAAAGGCTTCAAACCATTGAAGTAAGATGAGCAACTTGAATCAGCATCGAGTACAAGAGAGTGACATTCATGATTGTGTGAGAAAGTGTCATATCATCCCATCCGGTGAGATCATCAAAGTCAAAAGATTAGGCGCAGGGAGCTTTGGTGAGGTAAGTCTGAGCGCGTAATGATTTCCCTCTCATATCTATGTTCAAGGTGACACTCGGAGAGTGGCTGGGATCACCAGTGGCGCTCAAAACCCTCAACGAACAGAATGGTTCTGCTGACCTTTCTGGCTCTTCAACCAAAGAATTCCTCAAGGAGTTGCGGTTGCTGGCAGACCTTTCGCACAGCAAGATCGTGAGGTTCTTGGGGGTTTGTGCTTCTCCCCCCTGCATAGTCCTCGATTTCTACTCTCATGGCTCGTTGGATAATGTCTTACACGTTCAAAAAGCTGCCATCACATACGGGCAAGTGCTCAGTATAGCTCAAGACGTCGCGCTGGGAATGCGATTCTTGCATCATAGAGACATTCTTCACCGGGACTTGAAGCCGCAGAACATCTTGATCGATAAAGGGCTAGGAGCAAGAATAGCCGACTTCGGTCTCGCCAAGACTTTAGTGAAGACTGGGGTGTCAGAGGAGGGGCTGACGGGAACGGTTCCTTACATGGCACCAGAGATCCTTGCCCGTCAACCCTACAGCTTTCCGGTCGATGTCTACGCCTTCGCGATTCTGCTGAATGAAATGATCGCGTCGGAACGCCCGTATGACGGGAACGAAGTCGATGCAGTAGTTCACGCGGTCTTGTCTCTAGATAAGCGACCGACCATGGGGTCATGCACGCCAAGCATGACCAAGATGATCCAAGACTGTTGGAAGAAACGAGCGAGCGACAGGCCGACGTTCCCACACATCGTGAGCGATCTCAAGGGCATGATCGATGAGACTCACAAGGCAAAGCTCGTAGCCAACTCGCTTCTATCTACAGTGAGTAAGCTAGTTTCTTACTTGTCTTCCAAGTTTCTCTTCGAAAAAGAAGAAGCGCTACACAAGCTCAGAGACATGATGGATTATGGGCAAGATCTGTATAATGTTGGGGAAGTTCAAGAGGCGTTTCACCTTGCTAAAGGCGTGCGCTGCGTCTCAGAGCTGCTGGAGACTCTCAGCTTCGATCGCGAGGGCAACGATTCACAGCAGTCTCATGCCTTTGCGATCTCAGCCTGCGACTTGATATGCAACGCGTGCCATTCCAACGAGACCTGCAAGGCTGAAGCAAGAGCCTGTAGGATTCCAGAGGCTCTGCTCCGACTGGCTCAGCAATCGCAATCTCAAGCAACTTTTCGACATGTCGTCAAGACCCTCAAAGTGATCTCTCAGGAGGACCATGAGAACTGCCAGGTGCTGTACAGCTGCAACATCTTCGAGATAGCTGCCGATAGTCTTGAGAAGCACCGCCCCATGTTCGATCAGCAGACAGACCTTGAGGAATGGTTCCAGCGTCACCCAACCTTGACGACCTGGGGCTCACTTCCCGAGCACATTCCCGGCCTCCAAGAAGAAGACGAAGCGAATGAGTTGGCTAATTCACGCTCACCAGCGACCTGGTCAGGAAGACCCAGAGGGGATCAGAGCAGAGATGTCTCGGAGACTGAGATGTGCGAGTCGCTCCTCTGCCTGTTGAACAACATGCACAAAGAAGGGTTTCTGTTGGAAGAAAGCAGCAGACGCTCGTGGCTGTCGCTTCTATTCAGCTATCTTCTTCATCCCTCGCAGACAGTGAGGATGCAGGCTAGGATCTTGCTAGAAATGCTCCTGAGGGAAGGAGGAACCGAGTTGACTCAAGTGATGGACCATATTCCCATGTCGGTCTTGTTGCAAGACACTCTCAATCACGGGTTGCTCCTCTCGTTGGGTCAGCTGGTTCTCGGGCACATCTTTCATCAGGCAAGTGTGGTCTCCTCTAGTCTGCACCTCCGACTGTCAAGATTCATGCTGCATTGCAACCTGGAGCATCCAGGCATGGAGGATAACTGGAAGCTATTGATTTCAGCGCTGCAGCATCCTCCGTCTGCTCAGGATTTCGCTGAGAGCGATGATGGGCTGAGCTCCCTGCTCCGTCTCAAGAAGAAGAACGCTTGCAGTCTTATCCCTACCGTCCTTGTCTTTGCCGCCTCTCTGTGCCCTCAAGAGAAAGTGAAGCCATGGCATGCTGAAATCAGAGAGAACATGCTCATCTGTCTTGAGCATACCTTCTACAAGATGGACAAGAGCCACCAGGATCTCACCCTTCACTCCTTCCTGAGACTTGGTCGCAGCTCGAGCGAGGTCTCTTCTCTCTATCCTCACCCCGCCTTCAGGACGTTCGTCGAGGAAAATGCTCAGACCTTCCCTGACAGCATCGCGCAGCTTCTCTATGCTGCCTCCTCGACCGTCAAGACTTTCGGGTCAGACGTGCACAGCAACAAGTGGATGCCTCGCCTGCTCGACCTGCTCGCTCGGGTCGAGGACTCCTCCTCCCTCGCATGCCTGTGTGAGATGATGTGGGCAGCGCTGGATCAGGAGGAGGAGTGCAGAGTTGACTTTGCTGCCGAGCAGGGCTCGCAGCCTTTGATTCTCCTGCTCGCTCGACGGGAGGTCAACATCAGGTTGTTCGCCGCCGCCTGCATCCGAGCTGCTTGCATGAATTGCCCGGAGAGCCGGCAGGATCTGCATGAGGCGCAGGGGATCAAACATCTTCTCGACTTTCTCCGCAGAGAACAGTCGGATGAGCCTCAGGACTCGGCAGCTACCGAGCACGCGCTCGCTGCCATTAACAACGCCTGCTGCTCGCACGTCGGCAACTGCCAGGACGTGCACGCGAACGAGGGGATGCTTGTCCTCACTGCCTTGCTCAACAGGCAGTTGGGACCCAAGGTCAGAGAGTACGCGGCTCTCGCCATCGTCAACACCTGCAGCAGCGCGAGGGAGGAAGGAGGAGGATGGAAGGAGCCCGCGCGGAAGGCGCTGCAGGAGCTCATGGAGGACGAGAGCGCGACAGACAAGGCCAAGAGGTTTGCGGCATGGTCGCTCAAGAACATCTTGTTGAAGTGACTCACACGTCCGATAAGAGTAAACGCTGCTGCCTCGCCTCCCCCCTCTCTCTCCCTCACTTGGGGCTCGTCTGCCCCAGGAGGGTCTCGAATTGCAGCGTCAGCCTCTGCTGCAGCTTGCGAAACTTCTTGCGATCGTGATGCCGCAGGGCCTCGTCGATGGCGATGATGACGAGGGGCCACGTGGTTGCGAGGATGAAGACGGAAGGAGGAGTGCTCCTCAGCGTCGGCCTCACCCCATCGTGTGAGCTGCTGAGCGCGATGCTGGTCACCGTCGCCTGGATGAGGCCCGCAGCCGCGCATGCCGCCAGCCAGATGAACTTGCAGTGGCGCCAGAGGTCGAGGAGAGAAGCTGTGCGGTGAAGGCTGCCGATGGCCATGAACGACATGAAGACGACGAGGAGGATGTTGACAACCTGCTGGGCCTCGAAAATAGCCGTGTTGAACTTGAGCTCCCCCAGCTCGTCCATCGGCCTCAGCTTGTAGTCAACGATGGACCAGATGCTCTGCAGCGGCGACTCCTGGGCCCCTGTCGCCTCGGATGACAGGCTGGCGGAGAGCATCGACACGAACGCCCCGACGCACACGCAGGCAGTAGGGAGGAAGCGGATGATCGCATAGAAGATGAAGCGATGGATCGCCGGCTTTCCCTTCTTGGTGTCGAGCTTGAGCCTCATCGGGTTGGCGGCCTTGATGTTTCGAGAGATCTTGTAGCCGGAGAAGACGATGGCGACGAGAAGACAAGGGCTGATGGTGACGAGGATGCAGATCACTTGCGCAGGATGAATGACCTCGGGGAGCAGCAGGCAGTTCCCGATGAGCGAGATTGACATGAGGAGGAGAGAAACGTGCACGGCAAAGAGTGACGCTTGCCTCATGGCGTCGAGGAGCATGCGGGAAGTGCTTACGATCTCAAGGATGTTCATGATGTTCCAGTAGCGCCCGAAGTGAAGCGCACATGGCACAGACGTGATCTCTGACGCCAGCTGAGCGTCGATGAGCACCCGGTCGTCCGCGTCGGAGTCGTAGAAGGAGACGACGTCTCTGCCTCGGGTTGCAGGAAGCGGGTCGACAGCCATCGAGACGTCTGCTGAGGCGAAGAGGTGCATGTTGTGAATGTTCTTGGTGCTCCCGCAGCACATGACCAGCTCTCCGTTCTCCTGCAGGATCTCTATCATAGACGCCATGGTGTCAGGCGAGGAGTCGCAGAACATCGAGACGCGGAGAGGAACGTCGTCGGCCTCGAGGATGTGCTTGCGAATGGCCTTGATCCCGTGCGGAAGGCGAGGCCCCTGCTGCGAGTCAGGGTGCGAGTAGTTTGTCCGCCCCGCTGACTTGGCGCTGATGCCGCTGCCAGGAGGTGAGGGGGGCCTGCTGAGCATAGGAGGAGGAAGGTCTCGCAGGCTGATGCAGCAGTTCCAGTCCGACCACAAGCCCAGCTGGTTCCCGAAGGCGACGGTCGCTGACTCGGGCATGTCGGAGAAGAGCACGAAGCGGATGCCGGCGTCAGAGAGGATGTCGATGGCGTCGGTGATCTCGGGAAGGGGCCGGAAGCGGAGGATGAGCATGCCGATGAAGATCTGATGGTCTATCAGCTCCTCCATCCCCTTGAGCGCCTGCGACGGCTGAGACTTGGGACGCGAGAGGTTGAACGCCTCGCGCGGGGTCAGCTGACGGTCCAGCTGCCAGTCAGTCGCTCCTATGAGGGTCAGCTGACTGTCTCCATCCGACTCCAAGAAGACACAGCGGCCGGACTGCGAGGACTCGAGGAGGAGAGAACGTTTGTCCTCATCCAGAGAGACGTAGGACAGAGCGATGCATCGGTAGTGCTTCTGGTAACACTCAGAGCAGTGATGGGAGATTAGGGAGACGTCTCGGTCCGTCATGGCTCGAAGCTCCTGCCCGTCCCATATCTGGTTGCACCGCTTCATGATGAAGTCAACGTCGCCCTTGCTGAACAGCTGCAGCTTCTGCTGTGAATCCTCCACCACCACTGACATGACGTGCCGCTCCGTCTTGACCTTTTCCGTGGACTCGTAGCTTGCCAGTCTAGAGATCTTCTTCTCTGACTCGCTGATGTTGGTCGGAGGAGGCTGAATGAGCACCTGAAGCTCCATGAGACGTGAGAACGACGAGGCCACTGCTTCCGAGAAGCCGATCACGCCGGCCAGCAGGTACGACGCGTCTGCTGTGTCACAGGAGACAAAGTCACCGTAAGCTTCGCTCCGCACATGCTCTCTCAAGCTCGTCCTCGTCCTCGCCTGCGCTCGCTCTCGCAGCACTCGCTCAACAAACATGGAGTAGTCATCGTCGTGCGCGTTTGTGTTGAGCAGACAGTTCAGGCCCAAGGGCTTCAGCTGGGAGAGAAAGTTTCGAACAGCCGCCGCGTCCTCGAAGCTGCTGGCCCCCAACGCCGAGCGATCGTCTGAGGCGAGCAGCTCGATAATCTTGACGTTGGTCTTCGTCTCAGTCCCACTCGTCTTGGCCTCGGAGGTCAGTAGGAAGATCTGCTTCGGGGACAGTAGTGGCTCCGACAGAATCCCATCCACATCCGGAAACGCCAGCACAGTCGCGCTCCCTAGAGTCTCGACAACATCGGCACAAGGGTTGACGATGGGAATGATGCTCTGGTTCTCAATGTGGGTCGAAGGTTTGCGGATCCTCTGAAGGAAGTAGTTGAAGACCATCCTCCATGATAGCTGACTGTCAATGCTGCCCGCATCGAACTTCTGCCACTGCCGGCTGCCTCCTCCCATCATTGGGATGTCGTCGTTGTTGTTCCCTTGCTTCTTCAACCCGACCATGCCCTTGAGCCGCCCGAGCCAACTCTTCCTCCCCGACGAAACTGGAGGCTCTTCCTCCACGCTGAGACGACGTTCTCGGGACGAGAACTTCTCCCGGTTCATGTCTTCTGTGTTCTTCTGCAGGAGCTCGATCTTAGCAGAGATGAAGGCGTTGCATGCCACTTTGAGAACAAGGGAAGTCAAGAAGATGGAGAGCGGGAGCAGCGGCAGGCAGACATTCACATGCCTCACGACGAAGATATCAAACAGATCCTCCGAAGCACGGGGGTCGATGGCAAATAGGAGGATAGAGGACAAGAAGGAAGCGAGGAGTGACCCGATGAGTGTGTAACCAACGACCGTCTTGACGGTCCTGGTCTGCCTCTCGAACAACGTGTCAGGCCTTCTGTTCTTACTCAGAATGTCATCCAGTTTAGACGCTGTCGGAGTATCCTTGACGATACTGTCGTTGCCATCATGCTTCTCGCAGTGATCGCTCAGCAGCGTCATGTCCGGAGGCGTTTCGATCCGATCGCCACTCAGCAGCAGCTGGCTGGGTATGATCTTGGTGCTTCCGTCCTCGTTGTAGACCAGCACAGTCGAGATGGTGCGAGAGGTCTGCAGCCAGACCGAGTTGTCGAGCATGTGAAAGATGGATCCCAAGGAAGGATACGACATGAGCTTCGAGACGCGATTCAGAAAGACCTTGACTCGCCAGCTCAAGAACATCTCGTGCCGCAGCACCGAGGCATGATGCAGCCAGAGCAGGAGGATGAGGGAGATCAGGAGCGTCAGGCCATCGAAGAAGACACCTACTCCCTCGTGCTTGAAGACAGGCCCTGATAGGCTCAGGAACAAGGCACAAAAAAGTTGCAGAATGTTTCCAGTAGAGCAGTTGAGAATCCAAGACAAGAACGTGTTGGCGTTGCGATACTCGTACTTTTCAATCACGTTGCTGATGTCGTAGAAGAGTCTTCGCAGCCTGTAGCTGCCATCCGCCTGCTGACCTTCTTCTTGAGGCATCTCAAGTCTCAGCTAATAAGGAGAGCTTCAATGATCCTCCCGCGCCCTCGTCTACATGCACCTGACTGCCATAGAAAACGTCAATCGATCCATCAGCGAGTGATGAAATAGTTTTGCCCTCGTTGTGTTTGCTTTTAACGCAGTCTCTTGAAAAAGCTCATCATCTTTACCTCTATCCCTCAAACGCTCCACTCTCTTCTTCTCGTCACTCCTGCACATTTTTTTTCGTGCCTCTCCTTCCCTTCTCACCCCCCTTCCTTCCCTCCTCTCCCTTACTTGTGTGAAATCTCTTCTCATCCCCCCCCCTCACGCCTTCTCTTCCCCCTCCTCTCTCTC